CACGGCGACCCGAGTTCGATTCCCGGCTCAAGGTCCTATGCCGACCCTTCCCCTCTCTCTGGTCCTAATACTTTCCTGTCTGTCCTCCACTATCCTATCCCAATAAAGGGTGAAAAAACCCTTAAACATAATTATAAAAAAAAAAGAAATATCAATGCTGAAATGATATATTGCGCAGCTCTAATTGCATTATTAAATGATTTCAGAAGGATAATCTGATGATTAAAATAATAATTAATGTTCTTAATGATTTTGTTTTTGTTTTTTTAAACAGAATGTTGTACTTTCATTTATTATAATTTAATTATTTTTTAAGACAACTTATTTTGCCAAAAGATAGACTTTGTATTACAAAAATTCCCAATATGTTTGTCCATTACTATTAGTAGTATCAATAATTTACATAGCTACATAATAATGAAACTGAAATCTCACACGGTGAATCAGGAATTTTTAGAGGCCTGTGTGTGTGTGGCAGGGCCTAATTTCTCTGTATGTGTGTGCAAGCTGTAACACAGATACATGCCAGATTCCCTCACGATCACAGATTGTGGGCTCTTATCTGGGCCAAATATCTTCCCTTTCTCTCTGTAATATTTCAGTTGGGCATTTCAAAAATTCAACAAAAAAAAAAATCTAAGGTGTTACTGACTCGATTCAGGACCTGTCTGAAATACAGCTGCTTTCAGATCAGCACTTTCAGAGTTTCTAGATTGTAGGGAACTAGCACCTTGCTTCAGTGTGGTTTTTTTGACTACATAAAAACAAAATGTAATATGACTGGTTGAAATGTAATATGTAATATGCATGGCATATGATTGCTCAATGACATGCAGTGGCCAGAAGCAAATCTTGCACCACTAGCAATACATTGTCCTGCTTGATTGTCAAGCATTGATACCTATTGCCCCCTCCCCCCCTCCCCCCGTTGAAAACAAACTGGGCATCTTGTTATTGGTGTAAAACAACCTTAAAAGTTAGCCTCTGTGTACATCTGAGAGCAGAGCCCACTGGATTCAAACAAAAACACAGCAATCCTAAGGGATGAAATGAGGCTTGTTTGTACGTTTATTGATTTGAAATGCTTTCACGTGAAAAAGAGAGTCATGCTTCAGATAAGCTTTTGTTTATGTCAGACTCCTCTAAAGCACAATTCCAGCTGTAAAGACGGCTCATATTGGACTGTTAAAAGAAAACATGGTGTGTGTGTGTGTGTGTGTGTGTGTGTGTGTGTGTGTGTGTGTGTGTGTGTGTTATATTTCTCTTCTCATCATTCTCTTCAGTGGTTCCTATGATGCTTTTTGTTTCTTTTTTTTATATCTCTTAAATCTCTTGCTATTTTCTCTGCGATTCAGGGAAATCATGAGTCATGTTGTGCTTCAGAACAGAGCTTTTAAAAGGACTTGCTTGATGTACACTGATTTGACTTGATTTCCGTTTCCTCGCTCAATGTATTGAGATACCAGAGGTTGGGTAATGTGCTGTGCCTAATGAAAAGGGGTCAGAGGTCAATTGTGTGCGTAAAATGTAATCGTAACCATTAAAGTGGACTTTAGGAGAGGTCAGTCTAATAAACTTGCCTGCATCCAGTGGCTTGCAAAGTTTTAAGCGTGCGCAGAAATAGTTAGAGGAAGCTTTGGATGGAACTGATGTTGTTGGTTAACTTCCTGTCACATTTTGTTTCTTGGTTTTGTTTTCTCAGTGTGCTCTGGAGAGACGAGAACTGTAAGATACGAGAGCTTAGGGCTGGGCGATACAGCAAAAAAAATATTCATGATATAATGTTTCATATCACTTGGTATTGATAATTATTGTTTGTTTGTTTGTTTTTTCATTACATTTAGAAATATAAGGATTTGTTAATTAACCACTTTATTTTAATTTACTAATGTTACTAAGGCATATAGTTTTTTTTTATTCAAAAACAAAACAAAAAGATCAATAAAGGTTTATTTATGTAGCACCTTTCACAGACATTGAGTCAAAAAGTGCTTTACAAAAAGAAACAGGTAAAAGAACACTTGACAATAAAAGAAGACATGTTAAAACATTAAAACTAATTAAATATCCAAATACAGAAACACTAATACTGTTAATTAAAAGCTTGACCAAAAAAGTGTGTCTTTTAAATGCTTTTTTATAAATATAGTTTTATAAAAATATTAGTGTTAAAGAGACTCTTAAACTTGGTAAATAAAATGTTACAAAGTGTGCGATGGCAAAGTGTAATCGCTAAACATTCAACGCAAACTTTATGGTAGATGAACATCTGTAAGGTGTCAATAATAATGATACAGTAAATCTCAAACTTCGTAAACAACAAATTATGATAATCAAATCTGGGCTTTCAAGTAAAGGAACCAACCGTCATTATATAAGTACATATTGCAACATTACAATTTGTGAAGTTGAATGACGATATTACCCCTGTGCTTACAAAAATCTTTCAGATGGGGTGCTGGTTGCTGGGATGCACAAGAAAAGAAACCAAAAAGCCAGTCTCGCGACATCCCTACATCCTTTTTTATTTACGATCTCCTTACTGCTGCTATGCACAGTACTCATTTTCATGTGTGCTGTCATTCTGACCTGAGGTGGCAATGTTAAAATCCAAAAAGAGTTCATTCACATATTGCCTATGAAAGCATGTGAAACATGGCGCAGCATGTGGTTTCATTCACCATTTTTATAGTGCTCTACGCTCGTGCTCCCCTGGCGTCTTGTAACTAGTCTATCATCAACCTTTTTTTCAGAGGATGACAAACGGACAAACCATTGCTGCAGTTAAGATACAAGTTTTACTTATGGAGAAACGTTATAAAGCAGTGCAGTTTTTTGGGTGATCTGTGTTTGTCTAGTAATTAGTCTATTGTTATTACTGAAATGTGTTCCCTACAAAGTGCTAAGCAGATTGGTTCGTTCTAGTTACGTGAATTATGGTGCGCTTGCGACATTTTGAAAACTTAAGGGGCCCTATCATACACGCGGCGCAATGCGGCACAAGGCGCTTCGCAAATGTTATTTGCCAGTTTCAGCTTGACGCAAGTGTCGTTTTGCTGTTTTGCACCACGTTGTTTAAATAGCAAATGCATTTGCGCTCATATGTGCGCCCATAGGCGTTCTGGTCTAAAAAGGAAGGCGTTCTGAGGCGCGTTGCTATTTTGAGAAACTATAATAAATTTTTCAATAGAACAAAACAAACCCGGTCTAAACTTCAGCGCAGAGTTGCTCCTCGCTTACACACTGCTTAATACACACAAGATGTAGAGCAATATGCAAATATCTTTATATGAAAAAAATAAAATATTAAGGATATATATAGGATATAATAAGAATATATATAGGATATAAATATAAAGGATTAAAATATTAAAAAACATTATTTTCTAGCCTACATAAATATGAAAAACCACTGCTTTTATGCCTTTTTTTAAGCCTTTTTCAGTTTATTCATAACAATTTTGTATAATTTTATTATTATTAGCAGTATTATTTATTATATCCATATTTATATTTGTTTTATTATAAACAAGCTTAGATTTGCCCACCAACAGGTTTTAGACCATATGAGGCACAGCATGTGTTTTAGGATATAACTCAGGTTTTCGAACACACTTCATTATTATTTTTCATTTATTTGTTTGCTGGAAATTAGAACTGAATTAAGAAATAGTTTTGAAACAAATATTTGAGCTTAACAAATTAAATAAATTTTTCATAGGCTAATTGATGTCTGTGCGTAAAGGTGAAAGTAGATCATTTATTTCTCATTTTTGCGCGGTAGATGCTCTGTTTAACTGTTTTCTGTCAAAAAAAAACTGCTAACTGTTAATTGTTTGCTTATGAAATGCTCAGTTTTTCCACTTACACTTACTTTACGTCATGTAAATAGCAAATGTGCTTATGGCGCGACGCAAGGCTCTTAAAGGGAATGGGAGATGAGACTCTGATTAGTTTATTCTCAAAACACATCTATAACTCATTAAGAAAATAAACTTAACCCTTTCATACCATGCGCCATGGCGCAAAGCGGATTTTCCGCTTGGACCGTCAAAAGAGCCCAAGATGTTTTCAACTAGAGCATGTCACGGTTACACCGCTCCCTATTTGTGCAAGCCGTGCAGCAAACAGCAGACACATTTTAATAGAACTCTAGCGCTTCATACCAAACTTTTTTTTTTTTTTTAATTGTTAACAATGGTGTCAGGTCAATATATAATGATTCTGTTTTATCTGCCCAGCCCTACGAGAACATTACATATTTTTATTGTTTAATGAGCTTTTTAACAGTGAAAAACAAAAAAGCTTAGAATTTTGAGAAACAGATTCTGCAGATGGTTTATATTATTGAAGTTTAGTCACTGACTGACTTGTTTTTCTTTTATTTCCTTCCATTTCTGTTTCACTATTCCTTTGGGGTTTTAATAGTTTTATTTACTTTATTATTATTATATTATTATTATTATTACTATTCTTACTTTAAGACTACCTGTTTACTATAACAATAAAAACTTCTACCACATTTCCTTAAAGTTAATCTAAACTTTCGTGTTAATTGGTTGTCATGAAGATGCTTGAGGTTTCAAGAGTATGGGGTTTGGTGGTAATATTTCTTAAATGAAAAATGCTGGTGAAGTAGATGGAGACTGTGTGTTTGTGTTCTCATGTACAGTCAGTGACAGATGCTAAAAACACAAGCGTCACGCAAGCTTGACTGTGAGGTAAACACAACTGCATCAATCACTCATGCAGAACATTTGAAGTTGTGTTTCTGTGGTGACTACAAAAAATAGCCCATATAGCGGTTTGTTTTGGTGTACAGAATAAGAATTGGACAGACTAAATTTTATTGTAGATCGTAAATTCTATTTTTATTACTGGATTCTGAATTCTAGCCGTGTTTTACACCTCACAGTACTGGTACAAATATTTCCTGAAAAAAAAAGCTTGGTAATCTGTTGTCCTGTAATGTGACCAGTATATTCCATTGTGTTTTCTAGATGTCGGCGAGCAGAAAACCGTTATGCGGTGGACAGAGCTGCCATCATCAGTCACTGGAACTGGCTGCAAGCCCAAGTCTCAGACCTGGAGTACCGAATACGCCAACAGACTGACATTTACAGACAAATCCGCTCCAGCAAGGTGTGCACAGATAAACAGACATAAACAACTGATATAGTTTGAATCAACTGATATAGTTTAAAAAGAACCTATTATGCATATTAAGTCATATGTGTTCTCAAAATGGGTCTGTGATGCTTCAGCTCCAAACACCCCACAGATCTTTTTTTTTTTTTTTTTTTTTTACCATGCTGTAAATGTACATTTTAGAGCAGAACAGGTTTTTTTTCTCTCTGTCACTTGCATGCAAATAAGCTGCGGCTCCCTTTTACTTTCCAGAAGGTGAAGTACATCCATAGCGCACAGAGATCAGCTGTCAGTACATGTAGTGTGAGATTTAGACTAGCTCTTTTTAGCATTAATTAACAGCAGAGAACTAAACAGCATGGAAACAAATGTTACATCTGTGAACGCTCAGATTAAATCTGTCTTAAAATGACAGAAGCATGCTATAAACATACACTACCTACTGTTGTCTGTACTGTTAATATGACTACTTAACCAGACTACTAAAGAAAAATAGAAATTACTCTATGCTTAAGTAGCTTAATGCAATAGTTTACCCAAAAATAAAAGTTCTGTCATGATTTACCCATACTTTCTTTTTTCTGTTGAACTAAAAAGAAGATACTTTGAAGAAAGCTAAAGATTATTTTTATTTATGGAAATCAGTGATTACTGGTCTCTTCGCTTTATTTTGTCTTCAGCAGAAAAAAGAAAACCTTCATAAAGGTTAAATATTTAAATTTTTGGGTAAACTAGATCTTTAATATCAATATTCAGTGGTGCTGACTGATCTGTGGTAATAGGACCAATCTTTGTCAGGCTAGGAGAAATCTGAAACATTGCATTGCAGGCTACATTTACAAAACAACAATGTAGCCAATAATAAACAGGTTTTCACTTGCTCTTTAAAAAAAGATCTGCATTTACAAACTTGTGAAAATGGAAAAACACTAAATGCCAGGTTTTGGTGCTGTCACCTTTTTAGTAAACAGTGTCTTTAAGGAAGTGATGACAACTACACAATCTGCCATTGATTTGCGAGCTTGCTTGCCTATTATCTACACCTCCCTAAATATATATCATGTATGTGCATGATTACATTGTTTTCAAAGACTCAAAGGGTGTGCACTCGGACATGACAGTGTTAGCATTTTTCATTCAGTCATTTTTTATTTTAAAAATAACCCTTTATTAATTAGGAATCACCACAGTGGAGTGAACCGTCAACTTATCCAGCATATGTTTTATGCAGCAGATGCACTTTCAGCTCCAGCCCATCACTGGAAAACACCTACACAATACAATACACTATTTATTTATAAAGCACATTTAAAAACAACCAAGGTTGACCAAAGTGCTGTACATAGGAGTACTGAAGACAGAGAAGAAAGCAGAATATAAAAGAAACATTTAACAAATAAAAGCAATAAAACAGTGATCAATGAGTATTAAAAGCGAGCGAAAACAGATAGGTCTTTAAACCAGACTTAAGCACAGAAATGGAGGGGGAAAGTCTTATATGAGTTGGTAGAGTGTTCCAGAGTTTAGGACCAGCAACAGCAAACGCTTGATCACCTCGTGTATTTAAGGTGTGTTTTGGGCACAGTGAGAAAATTTAGATCATAAGATCTCAGTGATTGAGAGGGGGAATACGGACAAAACAAGTCAGTAAGGTGCTGAGTAGGGATGTAACGATAAGAGATTTTGGTTGTACGATTATAGTCAGAGGAATAATCACGGTTATCACGATTATCATGCATTCTTTCATTTCAAAATACTACTAGTTTAGAAAATCACATGAAATCTGCTTTTATTTTAAAGTGTTATCAGTAACACATTAACACAGCACAAAATAGCAATAAAAAACAAACAATATAAACCATTTATCTTTGGACTTAAATAAGTGAAACATGCTTTTGGCATTTAAACATTAGTAATAATTTTACACTGAAAATAAATGACAGAACAAAAATAAATAAATAGTTTTGTCTAATGTAAATTTAAGCATCATATTAGTTAAGTATTTCCCTTTTAAATAGAATGCAGTCAGGATTGCTGAACCCCTTTCAGGAAGGCACTAATATGCACGCAAATATCGATACTTGCGGGTGCCAGAGAGTAGTCTAGCAGCTGCATTTTGTACCAGCTGCAGACGAGAGAGAAGACTGAAAAATACCAAAATAGAGAGAGTTACAGTAATCCAGACATGGTGTTACTCATTCATTCTCATTCACACATAAATAACGGACAATTTAGCTTACTTAATTTTCCAATACATGTTAGCATTTAAATAAAAAAAATGCTTTTAGTCCAAAAATGCAAACAGTCCGTTTTTTTTTTTTTTTTTTTTTTTTTTTTTTTTTTTTTTTTTGATAATGTTGCGTAAATTTAAACTGTCATTTAAATGACCTGTTAGATGCTGCTTTCTGGTTTATGGGGATCATAAAAAGAGTGGGTGCATTTTTAGCATTACAGGCTGGTTGTTTACACACACTGTGGACACACATCAGAGTTCAAACACCATGTAAAATTAAATTGTGCCTAATAGGTCCCCTTTAAGTTTTCACCCAGTAATGGTGGCATCTGCCTCAGTAACTTGGCAACACAAGTGCTCTCTCTTGTTCCTGTGGTGAAGTGTACTCTTGTGGGATTGTTGTTTCATGTTTCTTCTACTTGCTGTTTTTGTTTCAAATCACTGCTTCTCCAAATCTTGCTCCCATTGTTTGATTTATGCTGAAATTAATCATAGCCATATTATCCTTGCATGTTAATTGATAGCTGTGTTTTAAGATTGTTTTGATTTACACTTAAAGTATATATTAGGCACACATCAATATGTATAAAGTAAGTGTATTTTAAAAATCTGCATTAAAAAAAAATTTATATATATATATATATATATATATATATATATATATATATATATATATATATATATATATATAAATATAAAAATTGTCATGCCTTATACAAATGCATTAAGCAGCAGAACTACCTTTAACATGTTTAAGAGTCATTATGTTCAGAACACAGTAACTCTAAAACCAATTTAATTTGAAATTGCAGATCTTAAAAATGTGTCATTTAAACATTGCTATCAGAAACCCAATCTTTTATGTCCTTTAAGGCAGATGAATGCTTTTCTAAAGTAGGAAAAGAGAGTTTTTGACAGTTGAGGGAAGACCGCGTCTCCAAATGTTCTGGTTTATAGTTTGTGTGTGTGTGTGTGTTTGGTTTTTTTTTGTAGGGCTCTGCAGTTCTTGGGGAGAGCTCAGTGTGCGAGTCAGTACCAGAGGACAGCAATGACTCGAGGACAAACACCATTACCTGCCCTGTCCCACGGGTAAGACCAAGAGCACAGACCCATGACCACACTGAAAAACAGTGAACAAACTACCAACATCATTAATGCACTTCTGAACTCGATTTAACTTGTTTCAAGACAATGTACATGTCCATTCTGAATATAATCTTGTTACACATGATTGTAAGAAATCAATCTATCTATAAAACAGCCTTGTGTTTAAATCCTATGCAAACAGATAACATGCTCATGATAGTGGCCCACACACTGCCCAAGAGAATGCTGAGATTGTTGAGTGAGGGGATTGAGATGAGAGGCCGTAAACACTCAATCTCTTTGTCTGTCCTATGCAAAGCGCTGCTGACCTTTTCATCCATTCAGGGTAGTGAAGAAATGCAGCAAGAACCATTCAACTCCTTCAAGCCAACTCATGGGGAAAATGACTGGGATGTCCTTTCCAAACTTACATTGGTTTTTTTGTTGTTTGTCTGTCTTTTTAGGAGCATGATGTTGTTGGCGTGGAAGCGTCACTATCTTCTAATGGTATTGTCACAGAAACAGGCTTGAGGAAAAGCTGTGGACCCATTAGGCAAGTCAATGGTGTTATCAACAGGTATGGAACACATCAATTCAAGGAAACAATGGATGTAGTGAAATAAAATCTGAAAATTAAAGACTGCTAATTCTGGATGCACTTGGCCAAAACTGGAAACATCATTTTATATTTACTTAATTATTTATTTTTCAAATAATATAGAGTAATTTTGCTTAATATAAATAAATTCCATAAATCAGCTTAAATTCCCTCTTGATCTTTACTAATCATGGCCTTCTAATCATCCCCATCCACTGAATTGGCTCCATCACTGTCTCTCCACTACACCTATAGCCGGTGTGTGGTGAGCGCACTGGCGCCGTTGTCCTGTGGCTGCCGTTGCATCATCCAAGGGGATGCCGCACACTGGTGGTGGTGTGGAGAGACCCCCCTTCATGATTGTGAAGCACTAAATGCACTATATAAATACACACATTACATTACAAAACTTAAATTATACAGATTGTTTGTTTTGGTTGTTGTTGTTTTTCCCAAACAAAAGCTGATAAAATGAATGTTTTATTCACACTAGTGAGTTTTACCAGTGTTTAACAAATTTTACCAGCATTGCTATGACAGCACATCAGCGGTATTGCAAGTAGCAGGCACAAGTATACTAAATAGAAATGTTTGTTCAGTGTTTTCCGATTAGAGTGTGCAGTTCATGCATAGATAAGTGTATGTACAATAGTGTAATATGTTCAAATATAAATTCAAAGATATAACTTAGACTCTGGTGAGTGAAACAAACACACTGAACAATGTGAGACACATCATTGCCTTTTTTTGGCCATTAAACAGTATGTGCATTATTTCATATAGTAAGTAAATCTAATTGCTAATAATAATTATAATAATTATAATAGTAGTAAAATTACAAAGATTTACTAGCTTGCTTCATTGATTTTCTTTTCGGCTTAGTCTCTTTATTAATCAGGGGTCACCACTGCAGAATGAACCACTAACTTATCCAGCATATGTTTTTTACACAGTGGATGCCCTTCCAGTGTTTTCCAACACTGGGAAACATCCATATACACATTCACACACTATATGGCCAATGTAGTTAATCAATTCACCTATAGCGCATGTCTTTGGACTTGTGGGGGAAACCGGAGCACCCGGAGGAAACCCACCCAAACACAAGGAGAACATGCAAACTCCACACAGAAATGCCAACTTCCAGCGACAAACTTCATGTGAGGCGATCATGTGACCCACAGTGACTCCCTTTATTAGCACCACCAACATGTAATTACCGTCAAGCTGCTCTCATCATAAACATATTATGCAAAATTTAATTGAAAAAAATCATATTTAATTTTTAAACCAATGTTTTTGTAAACTTAATTATTGTAATTAGTTTTTGTATTGTACCCTACAGCTTTTCCACCTTTTCCCCCCCGACCCAAGGCTTTTATTTTGATAGAAAGTATGAAGCTTCTCTTAAAAATGGTTGACTAGATCCATCAACCTTCTTATTTCATGTTGCATTTTCAATTGCATGTTATAAATGACTCTTACCTGCGAAAAGAGAGTACAGGTGAATCATTTTCACATAGTCACTGACATTTGTTGCTTAGGGATTGTCTATTTTAGGCTATGCATATAATGTTTATTAAAAGCTTCCTTTATTTATTTTGACTTCATTAAAGCCTTTATGACCACCAAAAGAATCCTTTTTATTGTTGATAATTTTGTTCTTCTCTCTAGCTTCCGGTCGGATTCCCCTGTCACCTCAGACCTGGATGAACAGAGCCGTTTAGGGTCTGTTCCCTTCCCTACGAATGACAACACGTGTGTGGCAGCCCGCACACGACCTCTTCTCTCATACAGGAAACGCAGAGTTCTGCGGCCTGGCTCACTCACCAGTCTCAATCGGAAGGTAAGGATCGATTTGTCGTTTAACACAATGCACATTTTTATTAATATTTGCAATAAAAATATTCACTAATGTCGAATTTGAATTCTCTTAAACTCCTTTTAGTCTATAAGTAAAGAGAAAGAGACAAGTGTGTAAGTCAGTGCTATGTCAGATTTTGTGAAGGTCACTTGGTGTGAATGGGCTGTGAAAGCTGGAGTGTGAGGTGTGCGAGACAGAAGAATCGAGCTCTTTAGCTGTCACCTGTGGACATGTTTTACTGAAGAAGAGCTGAGCTCCTTAAGGTCCCAGAGGGCTTCTTACAAAGGTTGCACATTAAATAGAGGTGACACAGAAACTGCAGTTTTACAGAGACCACAGTGCTGCTCCATTACTGTCATTTACTGTGTTTTAAGTTCTGACAATTGCCTGAAGCAGTTTTTTAAAAAAAATGTTTTTATGAATTCCTTATGAGGGACAACGTACAGTATTCAAGCAATTCATCTTTCAATTCATCTATATTTCTGTAGCGCTTTTACAATGTAGAGTGTGTCAAAGCAGCTTTTGTCCAAAATGTTCGTATGTTTTTTTCCCGTATTCACATTCGAACATTTTGTCAGGTACACAAACCTTGTACACTGAGTCCAACTGGTATTAATCCATTCGTAAAAAAAATCAGTATCACACATCATTAATGATGATTTAATAATTATGATCAGTTTTAACATTTAGAATGTCTAATAGCAAGCATTATTCCCTTTATTGGCTTTCCTTGTGGAGTTCACTGTATTTATTGAATAAGTTTATCCTCTTCCGTGTCTCTTTTCCATTTTTATTTTAATGTTTTCTATATACACGGTCAGAATTTCGCTTCTTATTTTTTATGTGAAATGGAAAGGAAGCAGCTCTAAAAATGTGGTTTGACTAGTTTGGACAGAAACTTGGATTAACATGGAAACTCTGTTTTAATCATTCATAGCTTCACGCTTGCTTGAGACATGGTGTAACAGTTCCTGCCCAACAGACAGCTGTTCTCTGAATGTCAGAAACATATCTGCTATATTCATATTTGCATTTTGTTGCATTCATTAGACGGCTACAGGGTCTCAGTACTGCTTTTACAGATCCATTTGCTCTTTGAACAGCCTTTAAAACTCGATTCCTCTCATAACACAGACCCACTGTGAGGCATGTTCATAAAACAATAAACGCAACCCCAGTCGAGCTCAGCTTCATTGCAAATAACAGCGCTTGGATGTCATTCAGAGACACCGCACTTGAAATGTTGTGAGAGATGCTGCCAGTGTCATCAGTGCACTAACAGCCAAATTCACTCACACTGCCGGTTATGAACTACCTGCTAACTGATCTGCACAATCCAATCCCTATGCTTTAAGCTGCACTCCAGATGAACGCTGCTCCCAGTTAGAGGCGGAAACTCAATAGCTTTTAAAACTTCCATTATTGTTTGGTCAATGACAGAGATTGAAATGTACTTCAAATGTGATTAGTTAAATCTTTGTTTTTGACTTAAAGCTATTATCAATGCTATTTCAGTAGTTTAAACATTGAAGTTATACACTCACCAGTCACTTTATTAGGTACACTTTACTAATACTAGGTTGGACTGGTTTTGCCTTTGGAATTGCCTTAATACTTCCCCATTCTGATGCTCAGTTTGAACTGAATTGCTGCCATGTTATTTGCTAATTAGAAATTTGTGTTAACGAGCAGATAAACATAATGAAGAACCTAATAAAGTGGCCAGTGAGTGTATATTAGCATTTATATTCCCTGTTAAATGTGGTACTGCTCAGTGGAGAGATTGGTAAAGAGATTCAGTAACTTATTTTGAGATTCAGTAACTTATTGTAAATAACTTTATTTAATTGGTGTTTGCCATGTAGACAAAAGTACATAATGTTTTACTAGTTATTTTGTAGGGGTGTCAAAATAAATTGTTTCTTTAATGCACCATGATGCAGACGTAGACAATTCGGTATGCGCTGACAGTTTGTAGAGCCAATCGCCTTTCTAAATTTTATTTTATTTTTTTTGCTTATTTATTTATTTATTTATTTATTTATTGTCAGGGACAGTGTACAATAATTAGCATTTCTGCGAATGTACCAGAATTAGCCAGAGGGCTATTTTTCATCTGTTGTTCCTGAACAGCCTACAAAAAAAAAAAACAATACAATAATTTACAATCAATCAAACATAGTTAAAAAGTACTAAAATATACATAGTTATGTAGATGTTAATAAAAAATTAATACAAATTAAACTAAAACACCAACATTTTGTAATAGAAATAAAAATAGTTGCAACACATTTAAACAACAAATCGTTAAGATGGTAGGCACAAATGGAAACATGCTAGGTTCATTTTAATAGGAATGGTGACACGTCTTATTCTCTATAAACCAGATTTTAAAATGTCTTTTGAACATATTAAAGGCAGTTATATCTCTGATGCTGCCAGAGACAGAATTCCACTCCTGTGCAGCTGTAACTGAAAAGGCACCCTCACCAAAGGTACCTTTGCGGAGTGGGACAATACAGTCTCCTTGGGATGCCCCTCGTGTTGCTCTGTATGTGGCATTCCTGATGCATGAGCGTGTGAACACAATGACCAATCATGGGGCTGTAAAAATGCACTCGACAACACTCAAATAGCAAACAGAATAATATTTACATTAGTTTATTTGCTATAAATGCTTATGTTGTCTTCTGTGATTGTATTTGTTTTTGTTTGATGCATTTTAACTTGTGAAGAAAAGTTATAATTGTGAATGGAAAGCATCGTCAATGCACCGAAGATATAGAATTGAACTGAATTGATGACATGAGAATCGTAACTGAACCGTGAGACCAGTGTAGGTTCACACCCCTGTTATTTTGCAAGATACTGACATTCAGTTTTAAGTGCTATTTAAAAGTCCCAAACCAAGTTAGGCAAGTTAGGATTGTTACGGAAGTCGTTAAACAAGAGAAAAAAAAAGTATTTATTTAGTGGGCTAATAATGTGTAGATACTGTGAAAATGTCCTTGCTCTGTTCAACATCACTAGGAGAAATATTTGAAAATGAATTGCAATTTTTTTTAGGCGCAGTAAAAGTGAAGTCATTTTTTCCCAACACCGCGTGTGTGTGCGTGCGCGTTATTGTTTAAATTAAGCAATATGATTTTTAGGCCTTAAATTGCCATGTTATATGTTACCTTTTACACCTAGATGTTTGTTTTGCAACCTGGTATGTTTACCCTCTTGACTTTGTTTACTTGGGCATATGTGAACACAGCAATCACACTCTGATCCGTGCAAAAACAATCAGTCTGAGATTGCCTGAATTAGTTTGGTTGTAGTGAGACAGCAACACGATCCAAGGAACAAAAAAGCCAGGGTTTATCACAGTGTATTATGGATATGTGATAGGCATATGAGAAGAGAGAATGAGAAGTAGAGATTTCATTCCTACCAGTAAAAGAGTTTTATGTCTATCAAGTGATAGCAATAACGATATGCAATATCATTAACTTTTACTTTTAGTTAACTTGACATCTGATAATGAATCTGTCTATTTTACAATCCTTGACAATTGAAATGAGGCTGTGTCCACTACTTGACAAAAGTCTTGTCATCGATCCCAGTTGTAAGAGCAACACAGTAACTGGACTTCTAGTTGATCATTCGGAAAAGTAATAGAAGGTATATTTTTCCGATGAATCATCACAAATATTAAAGAAGACCTATTGGAACCAGCATGAACCCAAGAATCTCACAGAAATCAGGGTTTGGGGTTACATTCAGTATGGGGCATGAGAGAGATCTGCAGAGTGAATGGCAACATCAACAGCCTGAGGTATCAAGACATTATTTGTTGTTCCTAAAGAAATAGGCAACAAGACTTTTGTCTGTTAGTGTATGAGAAATTCTGAACTCCATTTGTTTTATTCATAAATTAAAATAATGATGACAGCTGAGCGGAATCCCGGAAAATAAACCAAACTCTGACTAATGTGAAGAGAGTTTACTCGCACGTGACTTGTTTTAATAATTTTGGTCCGTCTAGAAACGTTGCTGTGTGAAAGTGAACCGCACCAAGAACAAAAAGGTCAATTGTAACAATTTTAATTTGTTTTCGGAGGAAAATAATCAATCTATAGGTGTGAAAGCACCCTTAGCAGCCATATTAATTAATTTTGCACAGCAAAATTCTTAACAGTTTTGTTTTACCTTTAAGTCAAGAAGGGTTTCTAAACTTGTGTATAACGGCTGGGACATACCAAGCCAACGGTTGGCTCTTTGTTGAGTATCAGAACTATTCAGCTTTTTGGCCAGTTGGCAATGTTGAGTTAGTGCCGTCAGTGAGAGAGAAAGTCTCATTGGCTGTTCAGTTTGCGCTGCATTATTTACATTTGCATATACGCTATCCTACTTGTTAATGAGGATTATTGCCTGTTGATATCTGCAATATAGATTGTAATTTCCTCTCATTCAGGTGGAGTCTGTAGTTGATAAGTGGTCGTTGACTGCAGTCTTTGAAATATGTTAAAGTGCAACATTTCAGTTGAGAGACAGCCAACGCTGGGCAGCAGTTTAGTGTGTCAGGACCCTGAAAGCTTTGTTAGATCATCGTTTCAACATCTATTGCAAAACACTGCAGAATTTTCTTTTCATTACAGCCAAGAAACCAGATCAGTTCAGTAATTTCAACACAACTTGTAATGCAGTTTTCAGCGTGATTGCGGGGATGATGGGCCCTGCACAAACTGTCCTGCTCTAATGTGAAGCACTCTTGTTTGAATAGGCTCGGAAAACCGGGCACAGTTGCCAATAGCAACCCGTTCGCTCTTTCTCTCCGGTGCTTTGCTTTGGGTTAATGACACGAGCACACGAGTGCTGGAGACCCAACCACATGCAAAACTGGGTCAGCGGCTCAGGATCCGCGTGGTCATCTGCTGCAGAGATTTGTATGAGAGCGTCAGGTTGGAAGTGTCGACTGGAGAAAGAGAATGAATGATCACTGGCAGACCTACATTTTGGATGCTAATGCTCAAGAGATTTCGCTAACAAAAGCAGGATCACAGTGGAACACACTTGAAAGGCCGGCTTTTGATGAATGAACAGCATTTTAGGACGATCACGGGATACTTTTTTTTTTACTAGGGTTTGTGGTCTCGATTAAATAATTTTTTTAAATTATTTGGTTGTTTGTTTATTGATATTAAGCCACTTCACTGCACAACTCTCCGAAGTTTAGAATTCAATTTATCTTTATTTTTATAGTGCTTTTGCAATGTAGATTGTGTCAAAGAAGCTTAACATAGAAGTTCTAATAGATTGAAACTGTGTCAGAGTTTTTAGAGTTGAAGTTCAGTTTAGTTTATTTCAGTGTGGTTTAAATTTCACTGCTGAAAGTCTAAACACTGAAGAGCAAATCCATCGATGCACAGCTTCACAAGTCCCAGTGGCAAGGAGCAAACTTCACCAATTGATGAAACTAAAGGAAAAAAAACCTTAAGACAAACCAGGCTCTGTTGGGCATGACCATTTCTTCTCTGGCCAAACTTCCTGTGCAGAGCTGCTGTTCTTAATTATCCTTAGTCCTTAATGCCTTAAGTTCCTTACTTAAAATTTAAAGCTACAATAAATTTAATCATCTGAAACAATATCACCTTTTGGGTTTTGATTCGGGTAAAAAAGTTTTTTGCGGTTGCAGTGCAATTGCTTTTCTTGGTTTATCACCAAATTCATAAAAAGGTGTCATGATTTAAGCTTGGGCAGTGGAAAGGTGGTTATATTCTGATTGCAAAAAAACTCATTAAATAGGGATGGGGTTGGGTGTTGTGCATAAATTTGATCTAATTTAACAATTTGTTTAGAAAGCTTTAATTATGCTGCTTTTTAATGTAAGCAGAGTGTGATATTATTTCTGCCTAAATAAGTCTTTCCCAAAATAAAGATGCAGAAATCCCATCTGTTGAATTGATTTCAAGAAATGTGGTGGTCTTTTCTGAGATAAACTAGACTTGTCACAATAATCAATATGTTGACTCATTACACAACACATGGACATGACCTCAATCATTATTGTTAATGCAACATATATCACCCATACATAAAAACCTATTCTAGCAACATTTTAGCTGATTGTGCAACATCTTGATTTCTATTGTAGGTGTCAGTGACAGTATGGTTAATAAACAATGTAGTGTGTACTATAAATGACTATAGTATATTTTCATGTGGGTGTCTGACGACTGAATATAGATCGGATAGCAGATATCGCAGCCTCTGTTACCTTTTAACCTTACACTTTTTTGTTAAAATTTATTATTTATTTATTTAGGATATGCATTTTCCCATTCTGATTTCAATGCATCATTATTCAATTGTTAAAATGACTATAATTTAAACAATCTTATGTTAATAATAAATATTATTATTACATAATAAAATATGATGTGCTCTTTGGAAGTGTACTTGCATTTTGATGCAATTATATTATTGTTCTAGCAATTATATAATGAGTCTTAAAATGACAATAATATCATTTATCGTGATATATTTTGGTGCAATATATCGTACAACAAAAATGGATGTCAAATCAAGCCTAAAACTAGCTAGTTTTTTTTTCTCTAGACATGTGACTTTTATAAATCAACAGAAGTGTTCCCAGCAGTCATTGTATATAAATTGTTTTTTTTGTAGGCAGTTTTCTTTCTGTTATTATATTTTTGATTAATTGTTCATTCGCACAACTGTTATTAAAGAACAGAATGTCCGCGGGGTCTTAAGAAGTATTAAAATTTGATAAATCAGGCCCTTAAAAGGTATTAAAAAGTCTTTTTACAAGGTCTTGAATTTTATTCAAGCGTTGTCCAAAGTGTCTGACTCCAAAAAAGCATGAATATATTTATATTTCTCCTAATATTTACTAGGGCGTGCTTGATGTACACAATTAGTTCGAGCCGGGGCGCATCCGGCAAAGCTCCTCTAATTTGGGTGATGTCATGTAATTTGCGACAAACGTGGGAAGGTGATGTGACGCTCTCCAGATGTAGTGAAACCATAGATCCAAGCAGATGGCAAAATGTAAGTTTGCGTACTCCTGGTTGGAGAAAGATGAGTTTAAACAGTGGCTGAAGCCTGTCGATGAAAACAACCACGTTATTTATTCCTTAAGCTTTGTTTCTTCTGAGCTTATCTGAGTTCTGTTGCATGGTTGTGCACCATTGATTTATTTAACTACAACTGTTTAATAACAACTGTTTGTTATGTTAAATGTTTGATACTGATTAGAACTTGACATGGTGACGAGGTCTTAAAATATTTTGAGATGGTCTTTAAAAAGATTCCTGCATATATCCTGATGAAAGCCCTAATTTCAGCAGCAATTCAGTTTTCAGTGTCACATGATCTTTCAGAAATCATCGTAATATTCTGGTCCACAAGGAACCCTTATCAAGTAATGCTTTCAAATATAAAGTCAATATAGGCCAATATTTCCATATCATTGCACGCCTAAATGTACAATAAATGTTTATTCTTCCATGAAGTCATTCTGTGAACAAATCTGACTGTCCTCTTATCAATGCAAGCCCATTGTTCTTCATCCCCATATTATGGGCCATACCCATACATTAGCTTGCCTTCTTTTGTTCTTTCTGCTAGGCTCAGAGGTCAGTGGCTCCTCGCTGTGGCTGTGAGCTGAACTCTCAGTGTGTGATGTGCAGCGGACGAGCTCCTCCTGCTGCAGACACCCAGCATCAGCTCCCTCTGCTGGACAGACTGGCCCAGTTCGACCCCTGCGTTCACCCCATCCTCTCCTTTACAGACGGTGAGAACACGTCTCTCTACCCTTTATTTACATCTGTCTGGAATCCGTGTTGTGGTAGCTATTGAAAAACAGTTACTAGTTACAGTTACTTTATCGATTACTTAAACAAAAAAAGTAATGCCTTAGTAAAGAAAGATACTTTTCTAAGGAACATTTTTGATGCTTCCATTAATGCCCTTATAACGGCCCTTCAGTGCTGCATGGAGAATACACTGTTGATCAGCTTCACAGTTCCCAGAGCAATTGATTTGCATTCTTACAACTAAAACACAAGACAGACTTAAACAAAAATCATTTTTAAACTCTAATTTATTTAAGTCATATTCGGAGAAAATATAAAATTGCATTTTCTTTCTTTTTTTTTGACAGATTGACAGATTGTGCTTTCGATATGATTTTTGATTTAATTTAGTAGTCAAGCTTCAGCTCAATCTGTATTGTAGCTTCTTACTGCTAAAATGCAGTAAGTGGAACTGAAAGATATCTTATATTAGCAAACAACTCTGAAATTTTGCTTTGCTTGCTACTAGATTAAGTGTCACTGGTAATACTTTTAGTTGACTTTTAAGCAAGACACTCGTATAGCCGCCTGTGTTGCTTTTTTAGATGCTGATTGTTGTATTTCCTCATGCTGTAACAACAATTTTGCGACAGCTCTTTAAGGGCCATGAAACCCCATCGTTTCACCAGGGTGTTTTCACACCTCTTCTTTGGAAAAAGTCAGAAAAGTGGGCGTGTCCAGCTCTGTTTAGGGGGGAGTGTCGGAGGAACTAAAGTGGGAGGTTTGGGCACGCGCGAGTTTCAGAGTCAAAATACACACACACACACACACATACATACAGGAGAATGTGATGGTGTTTAACCTACATGGACATCTGTAGTCGAATTATTAGCCAAATTATTAAATGGTGGACTTTAACTGCAGTTTGGCTCTTTCATTCAGGGAATTCATTCATGCCCCTCGCGACACACGAGATATTTGATTCGAGGAGCTGCTCTAAGCGTGTATTTTTCATGCAATGTTTTATACCGCACGGCGAATGAGAGAAAAAAACCCTCTGCATTTCCCAGAAACTTAGATGCACACGACAGGTAGTGTCAGAAAGCCGCGCGTGTTATTCCGGTCACTAAATGCGGTAAAAACCCTACACGAGGTTAAAGTTTGGTTGTGGTGCTAACGTGTTTACACTCTGTGCAATAGTTTGTTAGATACGAACAAACTGAATAAACAAAGAGCACTGGTCGCTCACTTACCAAATCTGTAGAGACAGGACAATCACCAGCAACTAGAGCCGCGTCTTTATGAAGAGAATACTACAAACGATTCCAGATCCCAGCGTTTGCAGATGAGAACAGCTCTCAGGTAAACAATAATCCTCCTTAGACACGTAATTGTTGTCGCGCGTCGCGTACACTGTAATCCACACGTGAGTCTGAGCTCTTACAGAGAGAAAATGAAAACGAAACTTAACTGCAGCAAACTATAAAAGCAACACTTCACGCTTGTTTTGCCAACACAACGTGGCGTCTCTGTCCTGAAAACACGGTGATAGTAATGAATATTAATAAAGTTGCACAATAGAGTGCGCTGATTGGTTTGACCCAAGCCTTACTCATGCATTAATGCAACACACTGTAAGACGTAATAAGACACACTCTGGCACAGACGCCCAGTCTGCACGCTGGAATACACACTATTATGTCATGACCGTGACGCAGCTTCAAAAATTCGTTTCAAACAGGAAGTACGAATTTGCTTGAAATAACACAAAAACAACCAATTTACATTTTTTAGTGAAATATAGGTGTCCTAATAGTGTTTTTAGCAGTGTGGGACACATATACGACTGTCAACAGCTCAAAAAATGTGTTTTGGTGTTTCGTGACCCTTTAAAATGACCTGGTTTTGTTTGCTGTCTGTGACTTTATAACCAAGATATTCCCATTACTGACGTTTTTCATTAATATTAATAAGTCTATTAATGCTTCTGAAGATAGACGCCATCATCCCACTCATTTGTGCTTTCCTGTTTGTTTATATTTTATCGTGGATGTTCCGCGTAGTTCGATTGCGCAATTCTGATCAGGCAGAACGAAAGTGTGCTCACTCAATTGGCTAGTAAGACTGTCACACACAGACGGAAGTTTGTTTATATGTAAAACAATAATAAAGTAAATCACAGCATTTTTCTGAGCTGTACAACACTATACAATTAAATAACATTCTGAAATATACAGAAATGTCACTGTCTACTAAACAAATCAACGTTGTCATACAGATAACGAATGTCTGCTTATTTATTTGAAACAACAAATATAGTAATATTAGTAATAGTAATTAATAATAGTAAAGTTAATAGTCTCTTGGTCTCTCTCGCAATACTTGGTGTACGTCATGCGCATTCTGTTTACTTTCGCTTGACTTTTGTCCAGTCTGGTGCCTCATACATGTTGCGATGGAACTAATTATAACATAACATTTACATTACATATATAATACATTACATATATAATACATTACATTCAAACTAGCATCAAAGGAACAGTCATAAAAAGGAGAAAATGCACTAAAAGAAAAAATGTACCAAAATAAATCAGATAGACAAGGCCTAAAATGCTTTTATATCTTTTTTATTACAATTATTTTAGTGTAATAGTACGATTTCAAATTTTTTATTGTTGGGTCTATTATTAGACCATTTTTGTTTGTTTATATGGTGTTTTTCATGGATAATTATTCAATTAATAGCCTAATTTTGCTTCTGAATATACACGTAGATGCAAAAAGTGACATCATCATCATCAATCACATGACTAGCGCATCTTTTAGTTCATTTTCCGCAGTTTGCCTGAAGGATGAGGAGTTTTAATTCTGCCTAACAACCAGGTGTTAATTTGAGTGTTAATTATTCTGATTCTGGTTATTGCACATCTAAAAATAACCCCCAGGCTGCTCTCTGAGTTTGGAGTAGGTCATTAGTGCTTAGATCTCAGAGCAGATTTTTGCTTTTCATGTCTGGAGAATGAAATTTAGGAGCTGATGTCAGGTCGGCAGTGCTGGTTGGATTAGCTGATCAAGCATTCGCCTGCCTGACCTTTGCAGCGATAACCATTTTAAAGAGCAGTGCAATCTGACTCTGCCTAAGTGTGCCAGTAGCAGCTAGCTTTATCAGGCTGACTGATTGAGATGTATTTTCCCTCATCAATATGAGCCTGTTGTCCTCTTTTCTGTTCTCTGTTGTGCAAATGAAGGATGGTTGTAGAAGAAGACAGGTGATCCCATAGGTGAAATTTGAGTAAGATTGAGAAAGGAAAAAAAAAAAAACACTGGGATGAATACTAGAGTCGAGTTCTGCCCTCTGCTGGAGAACTACTCTCATGTCTGATGTTTACAGAGCATTTTTCAGTCACTGTGCATGTTTGTATAAGGCTTTCGTAACTGATCGATGTGTTGTGCTTTTAGCAATGCAAACTCTTGGTCCAATTTCTAGTTATTGCACATAAATGTCCTTTTGTGACTCTTTCACATCAATGAATATATCTTTCTTTTTTGTATTATTATTTTTTAGTATAGCATCTTTAACCAATATCCTCCGCTTTGAATAGAGAAAATATTTGTTTATGACCACTTTTTATTCATATTACACAGTGAATTTTATAAAAAAAATCCTCGGGTACACAACAGTCTCTGGACTTGCTGCATCACAGACATCAATATTTTTTACAATTCTTAAAAAGTTAATCACTTTCTGGCCATCAGATATTTGGCATGGATATATAGATATTGTAATCATGATTTTGGAAAGCATTACAAAGCTTGGTTTGTTATTATAATTTGTTAAGTCTCCCCATACAATTTGATGAAGCACTTGAACCCAGAATCTGCAGATAATAAAATACATACAAAACACGGTGTAAAAAAATGAAGTAAAAAATAGCAATAATAAAATATTGCTATTATTAAATAATAATAATAATAATAATTAAATAATAATAATAAAAAAATTCACACAGTTCGAGGGTATCTTTATTGTCTTGTTTTTTAGATTTTTAGATTTTTTATTTTTATGAAATAAACTTGTTTGTAAAATGCGCTATATAAATATCATTACCGTGCCAAATGATGATTCCTAGTTAATGGTCATAAATGTCCTTTTATGACTCATTCATATCAATTAATGTTTTTTATTTTATTTTGTAATTTATTTTTTTAATATAGCAGCATAATCAATACAATACATCTGTTTTAAAGGGGTACATTTTTCACTGCCATTTACTTTATGTAATCTTGATGAAATAACAAAACACAATGTAAAAAATGTAAATTAAATAAAGTAAATTTTATATATATATATATATATATATATATATATATATATATATATATATATATATATATATATATATATATACTAATAAAAAAAATTTACACAATTCGAGCGCATCTTTGTTTTTTATTATTATTATTTTCTTAGTTTCCTGTATCTGCCTGTTGATTGCCAAATAAAAAAAAAATTAATAGAAATAAATTGAGAAAAAAAAATTACCGCTGTAATTTATTTCTATTAATTTTTTTCTTTTTTTACCAAAAGCTCCTTGAATTAACATTGTTTGCTAAATGCGCTATTTAAATGCTCTTATCTTGTCTAATGATGATTCCTAGGTAATGCACACAAATGTCCTTTTATGACTCTTTCATTTCATTGAATGTATCTTTATTAATTTCATTATTTCATGTATTTATTTTCTTTTTCTATTAACTGTTTTTCAAAAGCACATTGAATTACTATTTAATTAATTTCTATTGCCTTTAAAAGTGCTCTATAAATACTCTCTCCTTGCCTAACGATACAAAAAACTACCAGTGATTTTGATATTTTATGACATTTAAATATGTTTATATGTGCAAACATGTGCAAAACATTCCCAAAATGTAACTAAAAAGGGTCATGTGTATAAAATATTTATCTACGTACAGCAATCAGGGCAGATATGCTTTTAATTCTAAGTAAATTCAACTATTTAAAAAAATGTGAATAATTGGTGAGGTGGATAAAACCGAAAGATAAATAAACATTTATCAAACTATTGAGGTAGAAGGGAAGGGTGCTTTGAAGAGTAAAGCTGTGACATTTGTAGTCCTAATTGAAATGTATTTTGGGTAATATTGTCCAAGAAGCAGTTCAGCCACATTGTATTACCTAATGAGCTAAGGAAACAATATTTGCCATTGGGAAGTAGATGGCATGATAGAAATCTTCCATTATATATATTTTTTCTTAAAATCAATAGAGTGGAAATTTTGTGACTTTTCATAAATCATTTTAGTATCTTATATTGATATGTTATTATTAATTATTAATTATTTCTCTTCAGTCTATCAAGGTCAGATGTCTGTAAATGAGTAAAATCAACACTGGAGATTGGAGAGTTGTAGAATTAAAACTGTAATTCTGACTGAAAGAGAAGATGTTTGCCAACAGCGCATTGCTGCAGAGCTGTTTCAGACTTTATATTCTCTATGGAATCTTTTTACTTTCACTCATCTGATGCAATTTTTGAAGGTGAAAATAGGATATTCAAGTAGAAAATGATGTAGAGCAAGACTTGCCTATTGGGAATTGGAAAAGTTGGTGCTAGATGAAGAAAGTTATTACATATAAAGCACAGATTAGGAGGAACAGATGTTTTGATCTTACCTGAAATAAATTCTCTTTCTCTCTCTCTTTCTCTCTCTCTCTCTCTCTCTCTCTCTCTTTCTCTCTCTCTCTCTCTCTCTCTCTCTCTCTCAGATGTGATGATGAATTTACATATGCAACGTGTACTGAAGGGACACTGGCAGAATCGTCCTCTCGAGAAAATCAAGCCCATCAAGAAGATTTCGCTCAAGCACAAGTTGTGTTTGGGTAGCCGTATATCAGACCCTTCATCCAAAGACAAACACAGACTCATCAACTCTCACCTTTCCACAGTCCGTAAGTGGGATTCAAAACAGCTAAAGACACCAAAAGATCTCATTCATTAGCCACACGTATTGACTTCTATTTTATTGGAAACTGGTTTGTAAGAGTTGGAAAGTTTTCTATGTTTCTATCTTGCATGTTAATATATAGACCACAGCTCTGGCTGTTTAATTGTAAGAGAAAATTCCCTGCAGTTTCAGCATCCAAAATGTCAGGAGCTGAATTTTCTCCCATCGATGCAAATTCTTACACCTTTAGGAGAGTCTAAATGTGGCTGCATGTATGGGCAGTTAAAGTGACCTGTGAGTGTCTGGCTGCAGTGACTCAGCAGTTATTTCTGGCATCATACAAGTTCAGCTACAGTTGCTGATGCTATTTTATATATATATATATATATATATATATATATATATATATATATATATATATATATATATATATATATATATATACATACACACATATGAATTATTAAAGTCTGAACAGGATCCAGATTTAGAATTGAGGCAGTTTCGCAACACAAACATTTTTGAACACTCATTGCTTATTTATTTCCATTTTATTGATTATTTTGTGCACATTAATATTTGCAACTTTCCCTTGATAATGCTTTACCAAAAAAATTGGCAATCAACGGTGATGTTGCATATAAAGGATGACATTTCAAATAAATTTAGAAATAAGGTTTAAAATATATTGATTTGATTTCATATTATGATGCTACACCCAACACTTATGTAAAATATCCTTTTAGATTAAAACACATTAGATTAAAAAATGTAAACGATGCAGTGCTTCAAACACATAGGCTGCATCCAAAACCGCCTACTACTTAGTAGGTACTGCTTTTGAATTTAAACATTTTACTTGGTCGTTAGAAAAGTACGTTCTATACCGTATGAATGTGAAAAGTATGAATGCAATTTGGACGTACAACATCCGCCATTTTGTCATGGTCACGTGACCTACCTGCATCAGTTGCGTCGCTTCACTTCCATTTATGAATTCTTTCTCGGGGTATCATGGGATAGCGCAGCTACATGGGATGCGCACTCCAGAATCTTGCTGGAAGTAGTAGGTCATCTGGGTTCTTCACTAATTTTCGGATTCTATAAATTTGGACAAACTACTCCGATCGCATACTGATTTTAGCGTACTGTATAGTATGGAGGCATCCAATATCGGACGCAGCGATAGACTTGGGTGGACCGCCCAGGTATATTAACAGCCTCCCAAGTATACTTAGTGACAAGTTTTTTGTTTTTTTTACTATTATCATCCTGTTTACACTTTTTTTTTGTATTCACCTAATATAAACAAACATTCCTGAGCAATTAAGTAGTGGAAAAATCTTCTCTCATTTACCCTTTTTAAACTGCTCGTTCTGTGTGTGAGAACTGTCAACACTCACATGCTCTGCAGACTCACAGAGACTCAGAACTCAGAAGTTTTTGCGTCTGGCCGGGGTTTCTACATCTACTAAATGTTCGGGCTTTGGCTTTTTTAAACTCATTAATTTTATGTGCACAATCGTGATATTGAGAAAGACATTAAATAATTAATTCTTTAATCTAAACGACTCAGAAATACTTTACTAAATACTCAGCAAAATTGGTGTCAGAGTTATTGTACATCATTAGTAATGGGTAATTAACTCATTTGTCTTATTTAAATAATCTACAAGTTTTATTCTTGAAATTATTATAATTTTTTGAGATTGTCTGTTTATTCTTTTTTTTCCTGTCATTTATTTCTTGTTTGCTGTGTATTTTATTAATTTGATGTCAATATATTACTTATTTTATACATCTAAAATGCCTTGGCAATACTGTACAAAATGTCATGCTGATAACAACCTGAACTTGAATGAGAGATGAGCAGAATTGGAATTGGGGTTGGACCTAAGTGTATTTATGTGCACACACTATAATTTGTTGTTTTACTCCATAGAACTCCATATAAACAAAGGGTTGATGCTGCTAACCGATAAACCACAGTATTAATTAAAAGTTTTACTTTTTACCAAAAGGGAAAAACATCAGCAATTATGAGTGAATCATGGCTTTGAAATCAAAAAAATGTTGTTATAATGGAAGTCAATGGGGCAAAAACAGCTGCGAACATAACGAAAGGGTAGTCAAGTTGAACAGTAAACAAGGGTTAAAAGTGAAATCATAAACAATGGACACAAGTTATGTAAAACACAATGTACAGAAGTACAGACCTAAGAGTAATTATAAAATCAAGCAAGTTCTAAAAAAAATAATAAATGGCTAATAACAAAATAATTTTATTGAATTTTTCTATTCTAGACCAAGTTTTTCTTTTCTTTTTTCTTTTTTAATATTGCTGTTTTCTTTTTCTCTCAGGATTGCCGCATCATAAGGTGCGTTCAGAGAAGGTGTCGCGTCAGCCATTAGACATCCCAATGAGTGCCAGTAAACTTGATTCTCGCCAGCATTTCCGCCATAGCAGTTCGTTTGACCGAAGCCTGAGCCGCAAGAGACCCCGTGAACCTTCGCTGGACCGCTCAGAGAGTGCGTTTCTTCTCTCTTGTTCACTTTCATAAATTTCCTTTCTAAATCAATGTCAGTGCTGTAACTAAACAATGCATTCAATTTTTGTCTGAAGATGCTCCCAAGTTGTACATGGACCTCGGAAGTCCATGTCCATCCCTGTCCACTCTCACCACACCGACCCACAGTCCTCTAATGAGACAGCCGTCAGCATCCGAAACCTCTACACCCCTGCACCTCAACAGCAACGCTGCCGCTGTAAGATTCTCTTAAAAACGTTTCCCAAGTCTGTTTGTGCAAACCCACGGGAGCAGATATCTTATGATTGTGCATGACTATTTCAGACTATTCGAAGAAGAAGAGGAGAGAGTCCCTTTGACATCAATAACATCGTCATCCCCATGTCTGTGGCCGCCACGACCCGAGTGGAGAAGCTACAGTACAAAGAGATTCTCACCCCAAGGTCAGAAATGCAGATGCTGTCATTTCAGTTGCATCAGTCTTCAAAGATTTTCCCCCTTTCTAATCAATATTTTGCCCTTTGCTTTTTAATTGTAGCTGGCGAGAAGTGGACGTTTTTGCCAAGCCCATCGCTGAAGAGGATGATGCAGTGGAGGTATGGGTATTTGCATGTTTTTGGGTGTTTGCGGACTGTTTGCGTCCTATCTAGATTTTTTTTGCTATATTATAGGTTGAGCAATGTTGATAGTAATACTTTTTTGTCAGCAGTTTAGATTAAGTAACATTTCTCACCATTTGCTACTGGAATATTAACTGCCTATTATTAGGATTTTAACTGTTTAGTAGTACTTACAAAGTTTAATCTTATTTTACATCCTAGGCTGATTTATAGTTCTGCAACCCACGGCACATGCCTTGCATATACTCAAGCATTAAAACCTCTTCGTGCTGTTTGTGTTGCTCTGCCATAACACTTCTAAAATGCTAGCTGGCAGTAGGTTATGTTCCTCTGTCAAGTTTCTTCGCGGGAGTTTTATATTTTTTTAACGCTGCCTTAATGTAGCTAAAATTTGCTCATTCTGAGGTGGGAACCGGCAGATGTGCGACAACTAATCAAAAGGTAAATGCAAAACGGACACTTCAGATTCACTTCATTGTACTCGACACTTGTTAACACTGGTTCCATCAGGCTCTCAGCACTGCCCACACTCGTCACCACTTCTAAGCCGACCAATCATAGATCTTGTGCAATATGTCGCCGCGATGTGTTGTTACATTTTTTTAAAAGGTGCGCATCAGAGTCTGCGTCAGCCATGGCAAGGCTATGCGACTGCGCTTAACGCAGAAGTATAAATCAACCTTCATTCTCAACCAATACCTAAACCCAACTAGTACTTTACTATTAATGTCTGCACTAACAGGAAGCTGCAACTGTTTTTTTTATATTGTGAAGCAGTTCCTAGAGAAACAAAATATTATATGAGAAAACTTAAATGAGGCTTGTTTTTTTTCTACTGCGAGCTGATTTGATTAAGTAGGCATTTTATTCAGAAAGTTCAGGAAAGGGGTTTTGGGAGAGTTGTTTCAACCTAACAGACTCCTGCTAACCATTTCTGTTTGTTGTCATAGCACTGTCAAAACTGGCAGTTGGTGGGGCGTGGTTAAATATTACTATAAAATGTACATCTAAATATTAACATGGTGGAATTTAAGTGGAAAACTAAACACTTTACTAGTAAGAAAACCGTTAAACAGACTTTCTGCAGCACGATGATAAAAATAAAAACGAGCGTCCTCTATTCAACCTCTGTACTTTTTTCTTTTTACTCCTTTACTTTCATGGATAACTGTTGTATGCACTCCACTAAAGACATCCATCAGCCTACATAATTTTAAGTGCAAAGATTTGTTTCAAGCTGTTTCTAAATTCAGTTCTAATTTCCAGCAGTTATATTCAAACACACGTCCTATTCTTATACCCCACATTGTCATGAATAAACTGAAAAAAAAAATCAAGAAAGCATGGAGGTAGGGGTTTTTATATTTATGTAGAAAATAATGATGTTTGTAACATTTTATTCCCTTATCTTTTTTTTTCCCAATGTGAAGATCTCTGTGTGTTGCTGTACATGCTGTGTGTATTAAGCGTTTAAACCTGCAAGGTGCATAACTAACACGCTAAAGCTGGACTTTAAACCTGCTTTTTAGTTTTAGCACAAACAATGTGCCTTAACACACCTCCTTTATAGACTGGCACACCCGTCCACAAAGTGCCGCAATTAGATTTCCTATTTAAAAAACGTAGCGCAAAACAGGAACATGAGGGTTGTGTTGGTCTGTAAATGGCAAGAAATCATGCAAAACACATCTTGCGCCTAATTGCGCTGGGTGTATAATAGGCCAATAGTCTGAGAATTTAACTGAAAACAAATAGGAAGTGCATTTTCAGATTTCAATTTTAGATTACAGGGTGATACTTTTTTCCCCTTGATGACATGCACAGATGACTTGTTTACCACAAAACTAGAAATGTGAGCTAACTAAGTCAGTATGGTTAGTTTTGATTCAATATGTACTTTAATAAACAACCAAGTAGTAGTCTATTGAGGTAAAAGTATACGTTCATGGTTTGTTAATAGCATTAAAAACTGTCCTTTTTTTTAATCTTAAACGATTTGCTGCGTGCTTCAGTTCTGGCACCTTGGCTGATTAAGGCCTGTCATGGATAAATATAACACTAAAACTGCTAGTAGTTTGCGGACAGTCTGTCTTAATGAAGTTCATACATTTATTTAATCTTGACAGTCGATTTATTGAAAGATTGGCAATATAGTTGCTGAAACATAACCTGCTCGATATTAGCTTGTTTGTAGTTCTAAATCACAATAAAATCACACTCCAAAATCGTGGAAACCGACATCCTTGTGATTATCCATACAACGATATATAGCATAGTTTGAATGATAGTCATTCCAACTACATTCTAATAGGCTTCATTAAACAGTGAATGTTTTGCAAGATGTTTGTAATTGTTTTTTTTGCAAAGTGAGAGATTAAATACACCGTGTCAGTATAGGCACATCATTAAAACAGCCATCGGAATATTATTATATAAAATAAATATTGCACATCAATTCCCCAAAATGTGGTCTTAATAGAAAGCACAGTCATTTTTCAACAGACATGCCTGCAGATATGACAAATATTGTGTGTGAGACTAATTTATAGTGTTGGCAGTCAGGATATTTTAGACATCCATATGAAATTTAAACCAATGATAAACTAGAGTATGTGCCAATGTTTCCTGCTAGCTGTAATGAACACACAAGTCACAAATGACACCCTACACAGTTTTTTTTTTTTTGTTTGTTTGTTTAAGAAAAATAAATAATTTATAGTTATTTTGTCATTCAGCATCTTTTAATAAAATGGGCTTAAAACTGCATGTGTTGAGATTTCTGAAAACAAATACTGTAATAAATAAATTATTTACTCGAAGGATTCACAGGTAGAATTTTGCATCAAACTTTCCAGCTTGTGTTCTTAATTAAATGTTCTTGTTTTGTCAGGTCGAGGATCTCTCTGATGTCACTTTCTCCCAGCTTCACCTTCCATTACAGGAGCAAGAGCGCTCTCGCTGGAGTTGGACTGCCAGCAACATCGCAAAGAGGAGAGGCAGCAGGTGGGAAACAGAACTTAAACTAGTTTTTATCCTTTTTAAGTGATGAGCGCAACTCTTTTCATCTGATGAACAACTTTGTGGTGTGTAGCTGACTGCTGATTTTTGCACTTCATGATGGCAGCTGATCTGTTGAAAGAAAGCTGGCACTTTTAAACTCCAGAGATTAAAGTTGCTGCACAAAATGACAACAGGCTGGTCGCTTGCAACAGTGTTACGAGAAGTTATTAAGCAACGGACATTACAGAAATGTCGCATGGTAATATTTTTCTCCACAGGTCATACAAGTCTGTGGATGGACGGACAACCCCCTTACTGTGCGGCACCAACCCCTCCACACCACAGCCCTCGTCTCCAGACACGCCGCATTTCCACCTGCTGCATGAGTACAGCTCAGTGGCGTCTCCCACCAGCCCAGCCAGCCCAGAGATGCTGATGCTGACCGGCCTGCACACACCGGCCTCCAGAGACTCGCACCGGCTGCTGTCCAATGAGGACACGCGCTGTTCCACACCAGATACCATTGAGGAGATGGTAGGCCTCTTATGTGAAAGTGATGCAGTTATTCAAATGAATGGGAATCCCCATACTTTTAGATATTAAGCATTCAGTTGCAGAAAACAAGTTAACACTGCCGTTTATTTGGACTGCATTCTTTATCCGTGCAACATATGCCTTCATTTTCAGTAATGCCATTGTGTATTTTTAGACCTACTATTGGTATAATATGAAAAGGCTTGACAGATTTTTTGTGAGTTTTTGTTAAAGCAAGCAGTTTAACATTGAACTTGCAGCATCCAGTTAAAGGTCCCATGAAGTGCTTCGAAATGGGAATTTTTTAAATTAATCTCAACTGAAAAACATTGAGAGGGTGGGACATATAGTGAGGCAAGGCCCGTTTATTTTTATAGCACATTTACAATAATATATTTATATAGCACATACACAATGGTAGTTCAGTGCTTTACATAAACAGGAATAAAAACTAGTATAAGAATAAAAATGTAAATTGTTAAATAGGTTTTATAATAATAAAAAAAGAGAATGTAGCTCCTCCCCTTTAAAAAAAAACAGCCAATAGCATTTAGTTTTTATCACAGCTCAAGCGCTTCAAATGAAAAGCAAATGATAAGTGTCTTTAAGGGGGTGGGGCATGTCAGATACTAGAAAGCATTTGATTGATCAGGATTTAATGAGAAACTTGAGTATGAGGTGGCGTGAAAAAAAAAAACTTTTATTTATTTAGGCGGAAGTGAAATATTGCAAGCTTTGGATATTTATATCAGTTCTATATTTTCTATACACTTATTATGTCAATGTTTTGGAGCACATTAATGCCGAGTTCAATCTGCATGATTTTCAAAGTAGTCATGTCACAAATGTTTTCACATTGCATGATTATCTAGGGTAGTGTTCCGTCGCTGCTTTGATTACACTGCTAGATGGATCAGTGACAGTGGGCTTCACACTGCATGACTTTAAGAATCGCCAACAATGTTGCCTCGGTCCATCTCACAACCAAACACTTGTGAGAAGTGACATAGAAACAGTGCGAGGTCACTTAGTATATATTTTGTTATAAATTACACAACTTCTCCCCAATCTCCTGCTGACCTGCAGATACCCAGACTATTGGATGCTGCTCTCTCATTGGCTGTAGGTAATCGCAAATGTTATTTTCAATCAGAACATATTTCACACAACATGATTTTAAATCATTAACAGATCCAGATGTTTAGCACACCAAATGGGCGTCGCCAACTCATTGGCGATGAGTTCACACTGTGTGATTGTTACTCACATGAACGAGCAATGATTTGTTGAACTCCGCAAAAGCTAATAGAAATCCTTAAAACTAACAAACTTAAGCTAACACCTACAAATGTCTATTGTAATTTCACAGGACATTTAATAACTAAACATAAAGACGTCCAGCACCTTGTCATACTCTCATTGAAGATAGTTCAAAAATGTGCTGCCCCTGAGCAAAAACAAACTGTTGGACACACTGATTTATATGTATAAAAATGTCATCTTGACGCATTAAAAACAACCAAAAAAAATTGTTTGCCAGATATGTGACCTTTAGGTGCAGTTGTCTCCAATTTGCTTCTGCTTATAATCACTTGGTGTGCCTCTGTTTGTTTTCCAGACTCCCCAGCCGGTACAGCCATGGGAACGTCGGACTTTTCCACTGGATGTGGAGCCGCAACAGGAAGTTGAAATCCATCTCAGTCCAACTGGCGAGAGGCAATGCAGGACCATTCGACGGGTGTCCGGCTGTAGGTCGTCCAAGTCGGAGTCCGACACTGGGCCTTCGTCGCCCCTCTGCGATGACGGCACAAAGCAGAAACCAACCAACCCACCCAAACCTACTCACCGATGAAGCCTAGACTCTGCTCACCCGCCAATCCCCCCCAATCATCCACCAGCTTTCAGAAACTCCTAAAACAGCAGCAACGTAGACGGAAAAAAACAACAACCAAACGAATGAAAGTCCCTGTTGTTTGATATTCAAACATCAGTAAATTCTTTCACGGTTTTTAGTGAATTGTATGGAGATATATATATAAAGAGACGCGTTTTAATTTCGGGTCACTTGAGAATCAAATTGATTAGGATAATAAAAAGAAATTAAATATGAAAAAGAAGGAAAGATTAGCTTGAGGGCTAAACCAAGATAAGAAGCTCCTACACCTTTCGTCTATTGCAGAAGAGCACTTTCCCCTAAGCTTGCTGATCAATCTGAGGGGCTCCGCTTGCGTTGTGTTTTCAGTATACCATCAGAAATTACCCATTTAGCCTCACGGTTTATACCGGAGTGATAAAACACCAAAATAAAGCCAATAATAATGATTACAAGAGACTTGCACAATGGCGCCAATGCCTCTCTTTGTTCTCTCTGTGTGAAAGCACTTCCTTTTCTCTCCACATTCCCTTCATATTACTGCATAGGTTTCTCATGTCTGGAATTTTGGATAAATTACAGCTTCTGCTTTCATTTGTGTCTCACGTTCTCTTGTATGCCATGGCCCGTTTCTGTCGGAGCGAAAGAGAGAGCAGGTGTCTTCATCACAACCCTGTTGCTTTCTAAATAATGTCTGATTAGAGCACTTTATCGGTCTCTCTTGCACGACACTATTGTCGGTGACCCAACAATCAGCACCCAAATAAACATGCGCAGGCCGCTAATATTGAACACTCGATTGCACTGTTGCTTAGCATTGTGGCCCTTTCTCCTGTGAGCTTGCATTAATGTGAGTTTTGAAGCACTTGACGTTGCTATGCATGATCAGGTTAGTCCAGAGAATATGCAATCACTCCAGTATAAACTGAAAAGTGCTGTCCTTTGTTTTGTTTTTGAGTGTGTGTGTGTGTGTGTGTGTGTGTGTGTCTCCTGGCCTCATTTATAAAAGCTCCACCATTGGTTTAAAATATGTCTTGTTTAATAAAACACAATCTGCAATACCCTACAGCAGAGCTGTCCAAACTTGGTATTGGAGGGCCGGTGTCCTGCTGAGTTTAGCTCTCACTTCCTTCAACACACCTGTCAAGAAGTTTCTAGTATATCTAGTAAGAGCTCTATTTGCTGCTTCAGGTGTGATTGATTAGGGTTGGAGCTAAACTCTCCAGTACACCGGCCCTCCAGGACTGAGTTTGGACACCCCTGTCCTACAGCAATGGTCTCAAACTCAGTTCCTGTAGGGCCGCAGCTCTACATAGTGAAATTCCTACTACCTCCAACTCACACTAGTTTATAGTAGTCTTGAACACCTTGATTAGTTAGATCTGCTGTGTTTGATTTGGGTTGGAACAAAACTATGCAGAGCTGCGACCCTCAAGGAATTTAGTTTGGACACCCCTGCTCTACAGCAATGGCCTCAAGCTCATTTCCTGAGCTCTGCATAGTTTACCTCTGCCAACTCACACCGGCTTAATAGTCTCGAGTAGTCATGAACACCTTTATTAGTTGGATCAGCTGTGTTTGATTAGGGTTAAAAAAAACTAGGCAGAGCTGCGGTTCTCCAGGAATTGAGTTTGAGACCTAGGCCTAACAGCAGGGGTGTCCAAACTTAGTCCTGGAGAGCTAGTGTCCTGCTAAGTTTAGTTCCAACCCTAATCAGACACACCTGGGCTAGCTAATCAAGCTTTCTAAAAACATCCTTGCAGGTGTGTTGAGGCAAGTTGGAGCTAAAATCTGCAGGGCACTGGCCCTCCAGGACTGAATTCGGACACCCCAGCCATCTTCAAATACCGTAACGTGATGTTTAAGTAAGAAAGTGCTTGACAGAAAAGGACTTGGCAAGTTTTCATTCGTTGGCTCCCTCAGTTGCTGTCGTTCACAACCCCGTTATTATTTTTTTTTCATGACTAGGAATGATTTCGGTTTGTTCCCAGGTCAGTTGAGTCACTGCTTGCAACTCCTTCCTGTTATTTTAACTAATGCGAATGTACAAGTCTAATAGCGGACACAAGTTACTTATGAGTTTTATAAGTAGCTTCTCTGTATCTGTCGTTACATAATTCTAGCTATTGTAGCCATTTGTTCTTGTTTAAGGGATGTCATGTAAACCAGAAATCCTTAATATATTCCTTTATAACTCACTGGAGTGTAACTTCATCCATAGCGTCATTGAAATCTCGTTTTTTTTTCTTGTTTTTTTTCTTGTTTTGAGGTTGTGTGGCAAATCATAAGGGGACCATCCGCAACTGTCCCGTTTCCTGCTGAGAAACCCGTCACCCCATTCATTCTTAATATCATTAATAATTATGGTTCTCTGTGGGGGTCTGTGTACTTATCAGGCAAATGTACCATAAGGTTTGACTAGCTTTCAAAAGCCAATATTGTATCGTGTGAGTTATTTTCATACTTTGAATTTCATATGTGGTGAATGAGGGTTGGGTGAGTCTGGTATATCCTTTAGCATGTAATAGTTTGTACAAAAAGACAACATCAAAAAAAAAAGTTTATTTTGTACATACCTTGTTTGATTCTTTACTGTGTTTGTTGTTCAGGCTGTAGCTGTCCTGATTGTCTAGGGAGAAGACACATGAGAATATTTAACACTTTCTTTATGCAGAGGCAACGAGTAAAAAGAAAAAAAAAGTTTATCGATAATTGATCTGACAGGAACATTTGTGCTTCTCAAATTAAAAGTGAAATATATTGTACTTGAATGTCTTCTGTCTTTCTGTTTTAGGAAAAATGGTTTATCATCAGGTTCATAAATGAAGCAAGTTTTGTCTGATTAACGGATTAATCAATTTTCAATTTAGAAATCAAGTGAATGTTCAGGGTTTATCTGCACTGTAATCATCGCCTGAACTCCCAGATAAAGGCCACTCATTTAAAACTACTACTAAACATTCAAAAGGATGCTAAAGACCAGGTATGATAAATCTATTCAAATAAGAAAAAGTATCACACTCTTAGTTTTCCTTTATTTTTAATTTTAGATGTCTTGCTTCAAGCCAGAGCAACAATACCTCTGGTTAATCTCCCCCCTCCCCCTTTCCAAATTGGTAGGTAAAGTTGTGCTTGCTTGGATTATTGGCCAAATTTAAAGTTGAACATTTTTGTAAAGTTGTGTCATGGTGGCACAGTGGGTAGCACAGTCACCTCACAGCAAGAAGGTCGCTGGTTCGAGCCCAGGTTGAGGCTGTTGCCATTACTGTGTGGAGTTTGCATGCTCTCCCTGTGTTCATGTGGGTTTCCCCAGGTGCTCCAGCTTACCTCACAAGTCCAAAGATATAGGTGAATTAGGTAAGATGAATTGACTGTAGTGTATGTGTGTGATTGAGTGTTTATGGATGTTTCCCAGTGATGGGTTGCAGCTGGAAGGGCATCTGCTGTGTAAAATACATGCTGCGGTTAATTCCGCTGTGGTGACCCTGGATTAAGCCAAAAGAAAATGAATATTGAATTGTAATCAATATATTTGTAGTTAGACCAAGTCTTTTTCCAGAATAGCTCGGAAAGTCTTGTAAATTCATTGATTTAAAAAGAAAGGATCGCCTACAGGAGATGTTAATCTCATAAAACCTTTGAAATCCTAACTGGTTGTTAGTTATTACGTAATTGTTAGCTAATAGCTTTACTGCATTTCTTGCCAGTGTTTTCATAAATTCTTTAAATTGACTATGAAACAGATTTATTCCATGGTTATTTTGATTCTGTTAATAGATAGCCTAAATGACCCCTTTAACACTTATCTAAAAACTATTTAAATGTTAAATTAAACAAAATATATATGCATTTGTATTGCAGCGTATAGCTAAACAATGCAAGTAGGCCAACAACAAATAACTAACCAAGTAGAACACCTTATTTTTATTAAATTCTGCCCATGATTTAATCTGACTTTACAATAGGCCTGTATTTAAGGGTGTGAATGGGGTGTATGCACACTGACTTTTAATTTCAGTCAGCCAGCCCCAGGGCTTCCGGTTTATTGTCTTTCTATACAAAACTGCTGCATTTAAGATCTGATTTGAAAAAAAACAGTCATCTTCACTGCCTGGCTGAGATGCGATATAAAGTGGGTCCAGACCAAACAAGAAGCACTGCATTAAATTACATTTTTCTATGCCATTTCTTTGAAAAATGGACATTAATTTTACTGCAGTATTTTCAATGGAGTTTCTGCACTAGCCTGTTGATAATGACGGCGCCTGTGTTTAAAAGGTTTTTCGTCTCTTTAATGCTTTAACAAGCAAATGGATGCTTAAGTTTATTTAACTGATTTGAATTAAATAAGAACATCAATGCTGTAAAATGAGTCTTATTGAAAATAGTCACAAATCTTTCACCGAAAGTTCATTATTGGCTGAAATACTAGCCGTGCAGCTTATAGTCCATTACAGGGTGGTCTGACCCCCTCTAATATATGCTTGATCCTCCCTGAAGGACATCAAAATTAAATTTAATGTGGGAGTCTGCCCTTTAGTGGTTAAGAAATAGTTTTCTCTGATTTATATCTTAATATTAATGTTTACAATAATAAATAACTTCAATGTACATTTGTTTAATATACAGGTTTGCGCCAAAAATATTAAATCATCGATTTGAAACCGGCAAATCTAGTATTCAAAATGTTCACAAAACTTTTTTCTTTTAAAAATGTGTTTGTAGGTGTCTAAATCTAGATACATAGTTTGTATTTGATTATTCACTGGCTTCCACATGGAAGTTATGTACAATACGAACGTGTTTCTTAGTCATCCATTAGGTGCCAGAAAGCAAACCTTTCACTGTTTTATTTATTTATTTATTTATCACAAATGTCATTAAGAACCACTCAATATCCCTCAAAACACTGAAAAAATAGAACAAGTTTGATGACAAACTTAGTTATTAAATTAGGCAAATATAAAAGTTTGGTTCAATGAGGCATATTACTGAACATAGCATAACAACTTGACCCCCAATCGTCAATGTATAATTCGCACCCTGCCTGGACGTACACATTTGTACGTATTTTTTTTTTCTAAGTGCATTTTTTACCCCCTATTATCTAGAAATCGAAGTCACACACTTAACCTTCACAGTCCAAAGTGACCGAAGACGTGTAACGCAACTAGGCTACACCTGACCAAACGATGTTGCATCCGTTTGTTTCACGAGAAAACGAGACCAAAAGTAAAACAAAGGACAGGTAAAGCAGTTTAATACGGACTTTATTTCCAAATTCACGTTTACAGCAAGGAGTATCAGTGTAAACCAATTAATAAAACACATTACGATAAGGACAATCACAACTGTCAAGCTAGAATGAGGAACCGCGATGAGAAGAGCAGAGGCGGGAAATGAAACTGAGGAGAAAAGGTGGGACTCGTTAACGGATTACCGAACCGTTGAAACACAGCTAAAGGGCAGAATTACTCGAAAAACCTTTCCCCCAGTGCCACGTTTACACGGTTTATCTTTTAAAAGTCTGTTCTAAACCTTAACCCACAAGTCTAAATGCTCAGGTTTATGTTAGCAGCATGCTGTATTCAGGACGTCATATCGGGTTACAGCAATATCCGTCTGAAGCTTGTCGTTTTACTGATAGTGTGGATTCTGGATGCAAATTTAACCGTTGCTCTACCTATATATTTCCTCCCCGTTTCATTTAAACACAAGATAGCCTATACATCTTAAGAAGTAGCGTAGTTTGAGGCAGCTGTTGCTTCAAACCAGTGCATTCATTTTCAAATGAGCAACGCACTGCAGGTATAAAATAAAAAGCCTAGTAGTATCAGATCGTCTAAACGCATTCGTACATTTTTTTTACATCGTCCACACAACACTATTAGAAAAAGAGTGCAACATAAACCTGGATTTTAGCAGGTAGCTTTGTTCCTTGTATCTTTCCTCCACTTTTTTCTCTTTCTTTACATATTTAAATATTGGTTGACGCTATAGTAAAGGTTATTGGACAGGGACGTGGTGACTGGCTACTATCAAGGAGACCATGGGTGAAGTTCATAGCATGCTGGGGAAATGTGCAGGGTGTGAGAGTTGTGATTTGGACTGAAGGGGGAGCTCGGCTATGTGTTAAATAATGTCATTTTTTCACACCAAATGGATCAGCTCTGTGCTGATGGACTAGACTGAATCTGTACTAGACCGGAGAGAATCTTTAAAACTGGTTTCTGAAATGAAGCTGATGGAAACAGGGGAGGCACTTCTCAGCTGTCTGTTCTCAATATGAGATTTCTCTGTGTGGTGTTGTTTTTATTGAGTCTGATGTCCATTCATGCATTCTTTGGAAAAACATTTTAAATGCAGAGGCTGAAATCCACTGATACAGAAGCATTGTTGCCATTGAGCGTTGGGGTCAGTTAACAAAAAGCTGATTGATGGTGCTTGTGCAGGGCAAACAGAGCTCAACAATAAGGATGGCAAAGTGATCTTGAGGTCTTTTTTTTTACACTAAATCTTAATCTTGATGCTGGATACCTTTTTTTATTACTCTTTCTAATATCATAAATGTTTAATCAACCTCTTTTTTGCACTCAACATTAAAACATTTACTGTGCTTAATGTAGTTAAGTCATGCACTTATTGTCATTTAATTGTAGACAGAACAGGCCTGTAGCCAGAAGGGGTGGTCAGGTGGTTTGAAAGACCACTGACAAAGTCCGGAATTTGGCCCGTACAGTATATGAGATAATTTATGAGACTCGCTGCTCGCTGCAGAGCCACTTTAGCTCCAATGAGTGGAAGCTTGAGCTCTCCCGTGACATCACTTGTATAAGTGCAGCAAGGAGGAGCTGGACCTCAGCTCTGCCCTAGTGGCTCTGCAGCGAGTATCACTTGATTAAATTTCTAATTATACAAATTCAGACTGAAGAAATGAGCTGGCCAGTTTGTTGTTTACCTACAGGCTACAGTTTGTAATGTTTTTAGTTGTTTTTTATTAACTTTTAGCAGACTCCTAATTGTTTTTTAGTGATGCATGATGATAAACTTGTATTTTAAATAAGTATTTTTTATACTACTTTATTCAATTCTTTTATAAAAAAAAAAAAATCTAACCTCAACATGATTTATAAAACTGTAATTATTTAGTTTAAATGCTCATTTATAAATAAACCCTGTGGTAAAACAGTATGGTAAGCACTTTTGTTGCATCAAAAAGTGTGGTTATGATCAGAGTCCGGCAAGCTAATGCAGCAAAGATTAGTGCTTAAAATTTCCCTAAAATGCAGTATTTGAACTTCATAATTTAATAGAAATTGAGGAGAATAACTGCAAAAAGCTCCACTTTTTGAGAAAAAGAAAACCGATCATCCTTTGATTTTATTTCTTTTAAAGAAAACATTTGATATTGATATCAAATTATATCAAATATCAGACTTTGATATTATTTTCTGCTGGATTCCTGGTCATATAAGATTCATTAGAAACAAACGTGCAGATAAAAAAGCCTAAGGAAGCCCTACAGTTGGAGATCACAGAATGTAAAATTCCTGTGTCTGATGGAATGTAAATCTATTTATTAATAAGAAATGGCGAATGGGATGGATGTAGAAATAAATTGTATGAAGTGAATTCATTTGTAAATGAAAGAAACAATCAGCATTTTGAAAGTAGACACATGACCGGGTTGTACATACGAGATGTAGAATCGGACACTCAAGCCTAACACGCGCATATTTATTGAAAGGGGAAGAAAAACCTTTTTGTGACTTAAGAAGGTTTTTATTCATGAAATAATTGAAGTGAAATGTTTAAAAAGGTGCCTTCTGGAGCAATTATCTATCTTTAATCAAACTAAAAGATTGTATATGACTTGTTTCAGTGTTGTTGCTATTTGTTTTTTGTTCAATGTATGTTTGTTTATATGTTTTGCCATGATTATAGCCAATGCTGCTGAAATGGCATTAAAACATAAATAATTACATTTTAAGGAAAAAAAGAACCACCCCTTCTAATAGGCTGGCTACTGGCCTGCAGGATCGGTTGGTTTTAAACCAAAAAGATGCATTGCTTTGAATTTTTTATGAAAACAGTTGACGTATGCAATAAATAATAAAAAAAAATAATAACTTAAATATTTGTAAACAAAACACTGCTAAAAATCCAAAAATAAATTATTCAAAAATATATATATTTAAATAAGATCTGTTCCACTCGAGTGGTAGGCAGAAGAGAATCCTTATTGTTGAGCCCTGTCCAACAGCATTAGTTCATTTTTATTTTGACATATATTAACATTTGTTTACTACTACCAAATAGAGGCAAAGCAAGAGGATTTGTTTTTCCATTCAGTGACGCAACCTCCTATGCATTCATCATGGGGGCAGAAAGGCCTGGACAATATGCTGGGATAAAGTACAGAAGCATATTTGTAGTTTGAAAGGACATACAAGAATATTCTGAAAGGAAATGTTTTCTTATTTTGGGTCAAAACACACCACTGGTGTTTTTATACTTTGATCAATGAAATTTGCGTTTGATTTAAGTGACGCAGACTTGTTTATCATTCTTAAATTTGTGTTAAATCATCAAATTCATGGTAACTGCATATTTGCCTTCCCTACTGCTGCATGTCAAAACAGGAGTGCATAAGTTATGGTAAATAAAAACATTCACGATAAGGCAACAAAGCAAATACAGCTCTGAAAGCAAATGTTGTTTCTTTTAAAACCAGGGTATTAAACGGAACAGGTTACTCAGTGCTGTAAATGACCATTTGGATCAATACACCACCAGCTCCTTTTATTTTGTATTTCCCCCCTTTTTTTTTCATTGATGGACTGAGCCAATAACATCAATTCTTGTCCCTCCGTGCCGAGTGGCAAGAATTATTTTACAAGCAGACAAGCTGCTGGGACAACTTTTAGTTGGGAGAAATCCGACAAGCACCTTATTTGAAAGGACTGAAGGAGATACGTTTTAACTTTTTTTTTCTTTCTTTTCTGGATTCGTCAGTAGCCGGAAAGCTCACAGGCCTTGTTTAGCAAGGGAGGCCGAGACCTGATCAGCCAGTGTGGACAGTTGTGGGGAGTCGGTCATGTTGAGGCTGCCGGAGGAAGACACGTTGCTGAGGCGGCGAGGGGATCCGTCCGTGGAAATGTCAGGGGACTTGCAGACGATGTCAGCACCGTGGTCAGTGCGCGCTTTGGCTTGATCACGGAAATTTAGCTTGTGGCTCTCAATCTGATGGGAGAAAAGGTGGAATTTGTATTAAGTTTGATGAACATCAACAGATTTTGCAAACAAAAAAAAAACAAATAAATCAGGTGAATTCAGGACAGTTGTCACTCTAAATCAGAAAAAATGAAGCATCCCACCAAGCAATTTTGTTTATGGATGTTAAATGTGGATGTCTTGGCTAAAACAAAGCTACAGTAAAGTACTCTGTTTTGACTATTGTTTGACATGTTAGATTTTCAATGAGAGCCCAGATTTAGACTTCTTTTAGCCAAGGCATCTATGTTTAGACGTCTATTTGAATTCTTTTAGACATAAAAAAAAAATGCTTGCTTGGATTATATATGATACATTAACAACATTATATATGATACATTATCTATGATAAATTAACAAAAGAAAATTGTTCTTTAAAAAACGGACTGCGTCCTGACCGCAGTCACTATTCTATGTTGTACTGTAAATAAATCTAAATAATCAGTGCTGAAAAATAAAATGTGTCCCTGTTCAATAAAAGTATTTTTGAATCTAAAAGGCTCACTGATCCCACACATTTCGAAATGTCTAATATATTTGATGCTATCCCAGTTTCATTTGCAGTAGCAGCTGAAAGTCATCCAGGTCATACAGTTAGACTGCCTTCTAGTGGACAACCTGAGGTAAGAAGTGTCTTGCATATTTAATGTAGTGTGTGTGTATTAAACCTGCAGCACTAGTTTTCTTTAGGGGATTTACATTGATCATTTGCATTCAAAACAATCATACTGTTTTCTAACATTAGAGCAGGAGTGTCAAATTCTGCTCCTGGGCCGATGTCCTGCAGAATTTACTTTTCTTTTTTCAAAAATGCATTGTGAGTTATGTTTTAGTTTTAGAGACACTCTCCTTTTCCGTCTATTCAATTCAAAATAATGAGAATACTTCCATTGCTGAAATCTAAGCCAGAGCCATCTTGGTTTCTGTCTGTTCCCATGGGGAGCTCATTGTGTGATTCAACGTGACTACATTAGTTTTAATTCTGAAATGTATTTTTAAAAGCTAATTACCTAGGGCGTACTCACATTATGTACAGCTGCCTTTAACTGGGCCGAAGCACGCTTGTCCCACCTCATGTTTCACCCGACGGCCCGCAATCTCATTTCATTCTGCCCTGGGCACGCTTACGTCCTCTGATGCGCTGTTCAGTTAAAGATGCACTCTCGCTCAGCACAGTGAAGATTTCTTTATATTGTTATATTGTTTTAAGTGGTTTGAGATGCAGTGACATGCAGTCAAATATTTCGCCGAAGAGATCAGCCACTTTTGACGCTTATAAACAATTATAAAGTCCTCGTGCTCCAGGAATTAGTAGGTTAGCTAAATTGCGTCTTTAGTAATCTATGACAGTTTGCGTTCATTAAACAGTGAGAATGATTAATAAACACATATGAAACAGTCCTGTAAAAATCACTTCTCGTCTTCAGCTTCTGAGCCCAAGTGAACCGCGTTCTGGCACACCTCTTCCAACCGGACCAGGGCCGGCCAAGAGAACTGCGCCTGAGCACGATTCAGAGCTCTCACACTTCTCAAACGATCTGGGAAACGGGCCTGGGCATGGTTCGGATAGCATAGTGTGAGTACGCCCTAAATGGACAGTGATTTTACTAAACTAAAAGTACAAAAGTAGCAATAATGATGCTTTAAAATTTAAATTAAAGTATATATGGCATGTATAGCTCTGGGTTCTTTTGATGCGTTTTTTCTTTTTAAGTAAATGAAGGTTGTACAGTGCGTTGTTAATTGCAGAGCTCCTTGATTAAAAAAAAAAAAAAACCTGCAAGCTCTAAAAAAAGTAAAGGCTCAGCCAGGTAAGAACAGGTCATTCAAATGTGTTGTAATTCATTACTGTCCTTAAATAAATAAATAAGTAACTAGTTATTTTTGGGAGGGGAGTATTTAATGCATTACTTTCAAAGGTGACTTTCCTTAACACTGCTTATTACAGACCAAACTATATGTAGTGATTATACAGTCCGTCATTTAAATCGAAACCCCATAGTTCCTGTAATATACTTACTGAGGGCCTTTGACTTAACCAGACTGTTGCCTTCAGAGTCGTGAAGGTCAAAGGTCATGTCCACTTCATTAGAGTGAACAGCATCCCCATTATAGGAAGCATTTGCGGCCTGCGGCTCTGCTTCCTTCTCCTTCTCCCTCTACAGCATGGGACGCCACATAGTTCATAGGGTTATGGGTAAACAAAACAAAATGGATTGGGATACAAATTGTGAAATGAGGTTATGAAGTGATTCAAAACAATCGCAGTAGAAGGAATGCAGAGAGAGGGGATGAAGCTGTCTCAGTGCTCTCAGTGTAAGAGTGCAGATCTTCTTTTGGGTCAAGTAATAATATCCATCAATGAATGAACAGTTTCAGACTGCTGGTGAACCAAATATTTGTGCTGATTTATTCATGTGTTTTATATCTATACTTTTTATATTAGTCAAAAATAGGAAAGCATCAAGTTTAATCGGGCATTTATTTTTATCAAAAACTTTAGTATTGTTTTTTGCTTTAGTTTGCATGTTTACAAAACAAACTGTATTTTTGTTATTAATTAATGTGCTAATTTTTTTATGTATATTAGTTTTATATACAGTTGAAGTCAGAATTATTAGCCCCCATTGAATTTTTTTTCCTTTCCCAATATTTCCCAAATTATGTGCAACAAAGCAAGGAAAATTTTCAGAGTATGTCTGATAATATTATTTTTTCTGGAGAGTCTTATTTGTTTAATTTCAGCTAGAATAAAAGCAGTTTTTAATTTTTTAAAACCATATTAAGGTCAATGTTATTAACACTCTTAAGCTAAAAATAGATCTAAATCTTTAAATTTAAAAATTGTTTTAGTATATGCTTGTTCAGTTAATGTGAAAACTTCACTAGACTTTATATAGCTCACTTCTTGCCTATAATCTCTAGCAGTCAACTCTAGACCAGTAGTGCAAATATTTAGAGAAATTCTCTTCACTAGTATTTATTTAGTCTTTATATTTGACTACATTTAGTCATATAGCTATATTTAGGCCCAATCCCAATTCTACTTCTGTACGTCATCATATGTCATCACGATCTCATGCTTTTTTGGTGTTTATCTGAATCACTGAAGGAAACAATATGATGTTATCATAACGCTCTAATGTGGCAATAAGATCGTAGCTGTACTGCGCATTTACACAGTGACTATATTCATCTATGTAAACACACCTAAAACAACATTAACATTATAGCAGACACTGTAAAAAGCTCATTTTCAGCCACTAGACTTTCCTGACAGGGTATTGCAGTGTCATCGAGTGTTAGAATGTTGTGGGACTGCTATACAGGAGTTATAATTATGCATTATATATTGCAAAATTTAGCGGTTTTTATTTTAGCTTTTTTTTTTTTTTTTTTAAAGCATGACAGTAAAACACGAACGCCATTATGAATTTATTCAAACATATGATTGTTTGTTGTAAAAATATATAATAATGACAAAAAATACTAATTTGCAGATCTCTTTACTTTCATGTACAGCTATCCTGCCGTTGTGGCTGGTGTTTTCTATTTCTTACCCCTTGGTCCTGAAAAATCTTTGTTCGAAGGGGTATCTACCCCTTCCGCTTAGTCCTACACTTTCAAGCTAAAGAGAATTGAGACTCCTCTTCACAGGTACGGGGAAAACAAAGGGTAGGGATAAGGGGAAGGGGTAGAATTGCGATTGGGCCTTAGTGTATATGAAGATAGACGCATTTTTAAAAAGGTTGTGCAGTTGTACTCTTCAATAAAATGTGATTTCTAAAAATTAATGAAAACCCTCAGTTTTAGTAAGCTACATGAATCTTTTTCTAATTGCACATTTTAATAAACACAAAAAAAAAAACATTAATATCTGAAAATGACTGTTTAGTAATTATCTGGTTACATCTAATGGTAATTATCTGTTTTTGCAAATAAAAATATTTAAACAACTGTAACTTAAAGACAGAGCCACAATTTGTTCAGTAAATCACTGTTTAATTAAGAAAATCTAGTTTTCCTAACTGCCGTACGGTAAAATGTATAGTATTGCCATATGTTAATGTTGAATTGAATGAAACTTTGTAAATGTCTTGAACTTGTTTATAAAAAATGTAATCTGCAATTTTGAAGTTTCAGGATTTAATATAGACTACCTGACATAAGTCTTGTCGTTGATCCCAGTTGTAAGAGCAACAAATAATAACTGAACTTCTAGTTGATCATTTCGAAAAACTGGCAGAAGGTTTTTCCAATGAATCATCTACTGAACTGCATCCTAATCATCACAAATACTGCAGAAGACCAATTGAAACCCACATGGACCCAAGATTCTCAGAGAATTAAGTCAAGTTTGGTGAAGGAAAAATCATGGTTTGGGGTTACATTCAGTATGGGGATGTGCAAGAGATCTGCCGAGTGGATGGCAACATCAACAGCATTCATATCAACACATTTGTGCTGCCCATTACATTAAAAACCACAGGGTAGCGCTCCTTCGCATACTTCAGCCTCCACATCAAAGTTCCTGAAAGCAAAGAAGGTCAAGGTGCTCCAGCGTTGGCCAGCCACGTCACCGGACTTGACCATTATTGAGCATATCTGGGTTAAGATGGAGGAGGCATTGAAGATGAATCCAAAGAATCTTGATGAACTCTGGGAGCTTTCTTTGCCATATCAGATAACTTCATTAATAAGTTATTTGAGTTATTGCTGAGATGTATGGATGCAGTCCTCTAAGCTCATGGGAGTCAAACAATATATTAACTTTATAAATGACTTTATATTCTATACTGTACATCATTTCTATTAAGTGACAAGACTTTTGTCTAAGCAAAGTCAGACCTTACTGTCATAATTAAATAATTAAAAATCAAGGAATGATCATATTGTATTTTGGTAAAATAAGCATAATCTGGAGGCCTTTGTCTTTCATATAAGCCACTTCTAATACCAAATGATCAACTTGAAGTCAAGTTATTATTTGTTGTTCCTAAAACTTGGATAGGCGACAAGACTTTTGTCAGGTAGTGTAGGCTTGTTCGTGTTTATGTGATGCCGATATTTCTTAGATCAGCACTCATACTTAATTCCAGAACATGTTTGAATTTGACTGCATGAAAGTAGCACTCAGCCAGCATTTTTTAGTGACAGTATGTGTGATTAAAGAGACACATGAGCTGAAGATTACTGTATGGAAAAATAGTGAGCACTAGTAAGTGATCTTGAAAATGTGCTCAATAGAGAGAGAAGGTAAAGGAGAGCAGGAAACCCAGCTGCGGTTCTGTCACCCTAATGATTCAGTTCTGATTCATTTTAATTGAGATTAAATGAAGGCTGCAGATCTTTATAAAGAGTTGATGTGCTTGCTTTTGATTTGTTTTTCTCTTCAGACAAACACAGGAGTTATTCAGTTCACTTTTTGCTAAATGAAGAGCAGCCTGAACATTCTGAACATTTCCTTTTGATTTCCATGGAAGACAGAAAGTCGTGCAGGTTTGGAACAAAACAAGGATGAGAAAACGATGACAGAATTGAACATTTTGGCTGAAAAATTAACCAACAACTGCTCTAGATTAGCTGCTTTTTCAGTGTTTTAATAAACAGTCCAATTAAAACAGCAGATCTAAGAGGGAACTCAAAGAAATAGGTAACAATCTGTGCAAAATGAGTATACTAAAGTCTGGCAGGCAGGCAGATCTGAGAGAGAACTCAAAGAAATAGGCAACAATCTGCGCAAAAGAAGTACACTGAAGTCTGGCAGGCAGGAGAAAGCATGCTGACCATGAAGGAGAGTTTAAAGCAAATACGGCACATATAATATTACATAAAATTCTGTAGTGTTGTGCATTGTATTATTGTAGTGAATGAATTCATACATCCACCATAAAAGGGCAGCTCATCTAAAAATGAAAATTCTGTCACCATTTACTCACCCTTTACTTGTTCCAAACCTTTACAGGTTTCTTTCTTCTGCTGAGCACAAAATAAGATATTTTAAAAAATGTTGAAAACCTGTAACCATTGACTTATATAGTATTTGTCTTTCCAACTCTTGAAGTCAATGATTACAGGCTTTCTTTAAAAGATCTTTTGTGTTCTACATAAGAAAGAAACTCAAAGTCTGGAAGCACTTGAGGGTAAGTAAAATAGTGAGTACATTTTCATTTTTAGGTGAACTATTTTTTTAAGTAATCCAACGCAATTAATGCAACACAGTATTGCACTTTTGAAACTCAAATATCAATGCTTTTGTTTAATAACGTAAAATCCATACCCTCCTCTGTCCACCCCCAGGGACATGTCCAATGTTTTCCAGAGATCCAACCTTTGACTGGGCTTTGAAATCCAACTTCTCAGATTTGATCTCGACATTTCCACCCCCTAAAATACATGTAAAAGTGTAAAAATTCACAATTAGTCAAGTGAGGTAAGGTGGATACACTGACTTTTTTTGAAAGGGTTTAAGCCTAATCCGTCTAACTTTCATTTTAAATTCAGTTTTCTTATATGATCTGATTGAAATCTCACCCGGTTTGTGATGAATGTTGGCCTTGGAGCCGCACTTTGACTGGACGTTGCTTAGGTCGATCTTTTTGTGCACAATCTGAATCTGAAGCATAAGAAGCAAATATCATCAGTCATCAGCCAAAAAGAAAATGCTTTTGGAGCTGATGATTGGTTGTAGGAAGATGACCATTAATCACAACAACAGGGTTCGTAGGATCTTGCTGCCACTGAGAGCTACCTCAAAATTGATATAAATTCCATTTGCTGTGCCCATGCTTCATGCAAATTCAATGAGAGGCGTATTTCAATGTGGAAAAAAGTGAACATGGCATTTATACCAGATTGTATTCATGTTCAGATTCTTTCTCAAAGAACCTTACTTGGCTATTACACTTTTTTAAATATATACCCTTTTAAATAAGATTTAAGCCATGGAAAGTCAGAAAGAGATTCGCTCAATGTTGTGCAAAAGGAGGAGACTGTAATGGAAAAAAAAGTTGTATCTTATTTTTGGTTTCAGATAAAACTAGGTTTCTGAAGGCAAAAGCAGCACTTGTGAGACAGCAAAAAATGTTCAAGTGCAGCACTTGGATCTTTACATTCTACATTCACATACAGCTACAAAATGCACCACATGAATGATAACATATAAAGGAAAGTAGCATTTTATCCAAATTAGAAGTTAGAGGAATGGGAAACCAAGCTAACATAAAATTGGCATATCACCATTACTAACTTTTTGTATAAGTGGAAGCTATGGGCTTAAAATAGAGACCACATACGTGACTATTGACCACAAAACCAGTTATAAGTCCCACCTTTTTCTGAATAAATAAGCTTTCTATTGATGTATCACTTATTAGAATAGGATAATATTTGGCCGAGACATATTTACAGTTGAATCAGAATTATTAGCCCTCCTTTGAATTTTTTTCTTTCTTTTTTTAAATATTTCCCAAATGATGTTTAATAAAGCAAGATTTTCACAGTAAGTCTTATAATATTTTTTTCTTCTGGAGAAAGTCTTATCGGTTTTATTTTGGCTAGAATAAAAGTAGTTTTTTATTTTTTAAACACCATTTTAAGGTCAAAATTATTAGCCCCTTTAAGCTATATTTTTGATAGTCTACAGAATTGTTATACAATAACGGGGGCTAATAATTCTGACTTCAACTGTATAATTAATATTATTATTATTATTATTTATTTATTTTGTAAGAGAAATTGATGATTGTTTCTCATACAATGTATTGTTGGCTATTTTCTTAAATATACCCTGGTTTTGTGCTCCAGTGTCACATATAAGCAAGAAATTACATTCAAAACAATGTCTAAATTGGCTGGTTCAAGAAGAAAAATCACAAAAAAGATAAGGAAATACTATGGATTGTAAAACAGCTTGCCTTGCAAATGCTATAACAATGAGCATGCTCATGTTTTTTTAAGCACTCAACTAAAGATCCATAACCCTTGGAGTTTAATGTATATTTAACATCCTGAAACATCTTCCAATCTTCATCTGCAAAGGAATATATCTCCACGCTGAATAGCGGAGAAACATGCATGCACTACACAACAGCTCTTCTGCAATGCAGCAACAACAGTCAACAATCCAGGTGCATCACCACGAGGAACACCAGGTGAGAGGAGACACTAACACTGGGGGAGTCAGGCAAATGCATTCAAACTAGTTTTTGGCAAAGGCATCTAGATGGATGTCCTGGCCATGGACTGACCCGTGCAGGAATGCTGCAGTCTCTAAATTCTAGCCAAACCATCATGGAACTCTAATAGCAAAGCTCGCAGCTAAAGCAAAAGTCACTTCCCATTGTAATGCTTTTTTGTAATGCTGTAATGCAGTCACCTATTGCAGACATGATCAAGAAAGACTTGAGAGATGTTCATAAAGTTTGCATGATTCTACTACTTGGGTAATGTGTTTGCATCTTGCGTTAGTATTAAATGATGCACTTTGAAGAGTTTAGATGCAGAAGCCTCTTAAGTGCCATCTGAAAATGTCTTATAATGAGAATTTTCTCAGCCCACTATGTTTATGTTCAGGTATTTCACTTTAAAGACAATGTAAAAGTAAAGAGCAAAGTAAAATTACTGAACCTCTTTAGATCAGGGGTGGGCAATTAATTTTTCCAAGGTGCCACATTAGACTCTGTTGTGGTTTTAGAGGGTCATAATCTGTGAAACTCTTAGCAAACATTTATAAAAACTCTAAAGTAAAAAAAAAAATGAATCAATTTTACACAAGTATTTTAAAGACCAGCATCACAATTGTGACGACCCATTAATATTAATACCACAGGGTTGTTTGTTTGATTGCTTCACCATAGTTCATTTTTGTTTTTATTCATATATATTTTTACTGTTCAGTGAGCGAATTCTAGCCTGTGTTGGGCTGAACAAGTGCACTTAAGTCAGGTTGAATGTGAAGTGGATATGTGATGTAATGTTTATCACTGAGAGAGGATCTGTATCTGCATTTATTAAATCGTTAATCTGAGGTAATTACTGGGCCCACACTGAATCTGCGTGCGCAGAAATCCCCAAATTTTTTACACATCATTTAGTCTATGTATTTAGTTGTTTAAATATGTGTAAATTTATTTTTCAGTTTTTTAATTAATTTCACTAATATTATTGTGATATAATAATGCTATTATTACAATTTTCATATGATTTATTTACAATGCAGTTTGTGAAGCAATAATTTCTCTCTTTGTTGTTTTATATAGGAGACTTGCTTTGTTTATTAAATAAGTGGACCTAATTGAATTTGCATTGTAAACATTAAATAAAAATTAAAAATGTATAATTTTTTTATTTATTATTAAAAGTTTTTAGATAGGATACTCTTAAAATCCGCAGATTCTTTTTTTTTTTTTTACAAATTTTTCTGCAGAAATAGCAAAAAATGTCTGCATATTCTTGCTGGCCCTGCTTACCTTTATTACTGTGTGATTCCCTACAAAGTGTGAAGCTGCCTTATTTGGTTCCTGTCACATGACTCGTTTTTCCGCTCACAGAACTCTGAAATGTTTTGATTTTTTCAACTTACGGCACTTGGAAAACGTGAGCGTGAAATACCTCATGTGCATCCCCATCCTATTTGCACGCTGAACAAGCACGTCTCTATTTGAAATAACAAAACTAAGCGTCCAAAAGACGCTATGTGAAAGTTACCTTTTATTGACTCGCAATATAAGACCTGCACATTGCAAGGCTCTGTTTGCAGTTTAATTTAAATTAAATAAATACTTTACACAGGCCAACCAAAGAAGTCCATCGTAAAATGCCCAGGTCTGCTTTAAGAGAACGTTTCAGATGGCACTTAGATGCTTTTGCATCTAAACTCTTCATTGACTATGTTAAATATTAATATATACAGTTTTAACTATTTTGGTCATATTGTAAAATGGGATAAATAGAAATATGAATTAATTAATAATTAATTGAACATTTTGAATGCCTAATGTCTAATTTTCCTTATATTTAATCTCAACTCATAGAAATAAATTTAAATATCCAGAGGGAAATGCACTAATTTCCAATAGTTTTATTTTAGTTTTACATTTCATCATTTATATTTCTCATTTATGAATTTCTTTTATAATATATGTCTAGTATTAACTGCACTTAAGTGAGGATTTCTAACCCTACTGGTTACTCACATTACCACCACCAGGAACATGCTGCATATTGTCTTTGGATCCACATCTAGACTTAACATTAGTCAAGTCGATCTTCTTATGAACAATAGTCACCTGGAAAAGGAGAGTCAAGAGTGTTAACCAGGTGCTTTGAGCCGAACTGCGGCTCCCCGGCTCTGCAAAGGGGTTTGTTTTCTTCTTAAAGACATTAGATTAGCTTGGCAAGCATTATTTTTTCTTTGTATTCAAATATTTTCTGTGTGAGCTTGAGTAATGGCTTCTTAGAAATGATGCTAGTCTCATACAGAATCCCAATATACACTCAAAAAGGATGAATTGACTGGCCTGTGAACATTGCATGAGGTCAAAACTGACTCTTACAGTTTACTGCACTAAACACTGCAGCTTTAGATTAATTGTGTCCCAATTTTCTGACATGCATGACATAACTACCTTCCCGCCTCCAGGTTGGTGTTTGAGGTTCTCAGTGGAGCCGATCTTGGACTTGACGTTCTTCAAGTCAGGCATGGGTGCCACAGGAGCAATCTGAGCGCGGGATCTCAGCGAGCCAGGTGATTTGGGTGGGGTGCGTACAACCGCTACCTTCTTCACCTGTTGCCCGGGAGTGGAGGACCGACTGGCGGGGCTGCTGCAACCACTGCGGTCTGGGGTTTTAGGTGAGTCGGCTGACAATGAGAAACAGCAGAAGACCACAATGTTTTCTTCTGTTTTTGCTTTTTTTTATTACACTATAGTTTATTGTCCTATAAAAGGCCTTCTAGCCTACCATTGGCATGATAGTATTTACAAGCTTCCGTGTCATTTTATTAACCACAAAACAATTCATAAATGTACTTGTTTGTACATAAATGTTTATTTTTTTATGATTATTGAGATTAATACATCAGATAAAAGCTAAATAAATAAGCTTTCCATCTTTTTAGTGATGTAAGTTTTTTAGGATAGGGCAGTATTTGGCTGAGATACAAGGTTCTAAAAAATCTAAATATTGAGAAAATCACCTTTTAAGGTGTCCAAATGAAGTGCTTAGCAATGCACATTACAAATAAAGAAATTGTTTCACATATTTACTGTGTTAAATTTACTAAATATGATCATGGAAGCATGGAACATCATGGATAATGGAACATGATCTTTACTTAAAAGGATAGTTCATCCAAAAATGGAAATTTCCTTATTATTTACTCTTCCTCAAGTGGATCCAAACCTTTATAAGTTTCTTTTTTCTGTTGAACTCAAAATAAGATATTTGAAAGATAGCTGAAAACCTGTAACCATTGATTTATATAACAGGTAAAACGAATGGTCAATGGTTACAGGTTTTTAGCTTTCTTCAAAATATCTTCTTTTGTGTTCAATAGAGTAAAGAAACTCAAACAGGTTTGGAACAAGTAAAATATGACAGTATTTTCATTTTGGGGTAAACTGTCCTATAATATTCTTATAAGTTTTGGCATTAAAAATGTATATTTTTGATCCATACAAGATTCATCATGGCCAACAGTGCATAGTGTAATAAAATATTTGATTAGATCCTGGCCCAGGACTTTTTTTTTTTTTACCTCTTTCAATGGACCCTGGTCCTGTCCTTCGCTGCTCCATCCGTGAAGCAGCTGTATTTTACAAATCAAAGTGGTACAAATCAGTCGCATAAATGCTCTATAAATAGAAAACTATGCCCTTGGGGTTTTACAACCCATTTCCAATAGGCAGAAATTGTGCTTCCAGAAGACTAGCAAAGCAGGAAGGTGTGCATACTTTTGCATGTTGCCATTATATGTACAGTTGAAGTCAGAATTATTAAAAGTTCCTGAATTATAAAGCCCCCCTGTTTATTTTTTCCCGTTTTTGTTTAACGGAGAGCAGATTTTTTTAACACATTTCGAAACATAATAGTTTTAATAACTCATCTCTAATAACTGATTTATTTTATCTTTGCCATGATTACAGTAAATAATATTTTATCAGATATTTTCAAGACGCTTCTATACAGCTTAAAGTGACATTTATAGGCTTAACTAGGTTAAATAGGTTAACTAGGCAGATTAGGATAATAAGACAAGTTATTGTATAACAATGATTTGTTCTGTAGACTATCGAAAACAAATATAGCTTAAAAGGGCCAATAATTTTAACCTTAAAATGGTTTTAAAACAATTAAAATCTGCTTTTATTCTAGCCGAAATAAAACAAATAAGACTTTCTTCAGAAGAAAAAATATTATCAGACATACTGTGAAAATGTCCTTGCTCTGTCAAACATCATTTGGGAAATATTTAAAAAAGAAAAAAAAAATCAAAAGGGGGCTAATAATTCTGATTTCAACTGTGAGTGAATGCACTGAAATACATCCAGGTATTATGTTATAATTACTGAGTGAATTTTTTGATTGTACACAGCAATACTGAATGCTTTAAAATAGAGGAAATCAGTACTAAATTGCAAAAAGTGTTTACATAATAACATTCAAGTTCCTTTTCAACCTGTCGGATGTTGAGTCACCAAAAATACTTCCTATTAATGGAACTAAATAAAGATTCATGTAGAACCCTGAAAATATTTATTTAAAAAAATCACTTACCAGGGATTTTGGCACCAACTCCTTGGGGTTTAGCACCCGCTGTCTTTGTCTTTGCATCTCCAGCCTAAATATGGACAATTAAAGCAAGAATGAGCTAGCGGTAAATCTAATGCTATTTATAATCATTTTACAGTTCAAATGTAGTAATACATAATTAAAATCCACCCATTCCCTTCTCTTTCTGCTCTGCCAATAAGGATGTTTACGTCGTGAAATGTCTCAGGTACTGGAAGTTCATTCTTCTGATAGGCACCCTATTTTGAGTAGACTTTAAGGGGGGCCTATTATTTTCCAAGATGTAAAATAAGTCTCTGATGTCCCTAGTATGTGAAGTTTCAGCTGAAAATACTCCACAGTTAACTTTTATAACTCTTTGAAACTGTCCTTTTTAGGCTTTGAACCAAATTGTTGCTTTAAATTCAAATGAGATTGTGCTCTTTTAAAAAAAGGGCGGAGCTAAAACATCTGTGTGTCAGCATAGCAACAGATTCAAAACAGGACTAACGTTATCTGTGTGAAAAACAGAAAATGTGATAAGAAGTGTCTTAGAAGTGATTACGGTGCTTATTTGTGCATCTAAAACATTTATAATCCTCTTAAGCCTAATTCACACTACTGGATTTTAAGCCCAATTTGAGCCTGATTTTTAAATTAACAAGCTCGCCGACAGATCAGGCTGTGATCGAGAAGAAATCTGGGGGCGCTCGGCCATCTTTATGTGTGAACTACTAAACAATGCATCAAAGAGGCACGCTGATGCATCGCTGACACCTCGCAGATGAGAATCCAATATCTAGCATGGTGAATATTCCAGAGCAGTCAGCCGACTCGACCATACGAGTGGTCAGATGTAGTGACGAGCTGCAGCCAATGAGAGAGCATATCAGCATAAGCTGAATGGTCATTGTGCTCAGCAGCACAACAGAAACATTTGTGATTGGCCAGAATAGGCATTGATGTACTCGCTTACTTATGTGTTAACACAGACATGAGTGTAGTCTATAATAACTGTGAAACTAGAGTTCTGTAAAATATTAGTTTTACCATACTGGTCATTCTGACCGTTCTTTAACAAGACGTCATATTGTCACATCATATTTACATTCAAAACTTCTATTGAGATATTAAAAGTAAGCTTTGAATGTCTGTCACCATATTTTATGACACCATTACCCTAAAATATTATCTTTTTGGTAATACAGCCTATAAATATGTAATTAAGATACTAGAACACGCAAAGGTCTGGGCCTTGCTTACATTTTCAATTTCAAACAGGAGATATTTCCTGGCACAAAATTAGCTGTTTTGAAAGATATAGCTGAAGTTAATTTATGGTTTTGCTATCAGAAAGTTATACTTATGTTAGTAGGAAGTTGCTAGGCAAAAAAATGTAATATATTTAAAGTCACAGTGAAAAGTAGCAGACATGCATGCAGTCATTTTGAGCAATATGTTAATTTAAGGTATTAATATCTGCCAATGTTTAAAGACATGTGGGGTGAACTAGGCTTTAGTCGCTGAGATTATCTTCAACAAGTAAAAAAAACTCTAATGGCGGATGGCTGCTTCTCACTCAGGTCTGTATATGCTTATGAGGAAAAGTCAATAATTGGGTGGGCCTTTCCCCCATGACACATAAGAAGGGGCATTCATTCAATTTTACCATTTAACAATTGCTAAATTCACAAACTGTTGCCACACAACTGTGTTTAAACCCCTTATAAAAGTGATTCCTGCATAATAGGTCCTTGTTAATGTTGTAAAAAAGACATGAACTTCAGTGGCTTTCTCCTGCAGAGAAGAAAAAGCTTTTGACCAATGGTTAGGGATGAGTGGCTGTACTCACTGTGAACCTGGACTCTCTTGTTCCTGGGCTTTTTACAGAGTTTGTGCAGGCTGGAGTGCTAAAGGGACATGATGGAGCTGAAGGAGTGACTGAGGGCTTTATTCTGGGGATGCCTGTGACTGAAGACCCTCTTTGGGTGAGTCTAGCTTTTGCATGCGGTGTGGTGGTGGGTGTCTTATGTGTTTGAGAGGGTGATACAGACAGTATAAAGCAATGGGAAAAAACAAATGAGTAAATGAAATGTAAAATACAACAAAATATAAACAAAATTATAAAAATGTTAAACTGAAATCATTTAGATAAAGAAGTGTCATCGAAATTAATTGTAAACAAATGAAACAGTTTTTTCCCCTGCCATATTTGAACAAATCTGGCTACAAGACATGTAACTATATTTCTTAGGAACCCACCAGTCATAATTACTATACCTTTTTTTCAGGAGTTGCCCCTGCTCCAGCCTTGGCTGTAAGAAAGGAAGAAACATTAAGTGCAAGCACATGTATTGACAGTTTTAGTGGCCTGAATTTTGACTTCCGCTTATCAAGATGGTTATCTATAATACTTGATTCCAAAAAAAGGAAGTTGATCTTAATATGTTTCAACATCAGTGCTCAATGTGATTTTTCAGCGGTGATGTCACCCAGAAGCAGCAGATTTCAGTTTTGCATGTTTCTTTATGATAGCTACCAGAAACAAACATTTATTGAGAAATTGAAATTTTGTCATCATTTACTCAGCGTCAACTTCATTCTGAATCTTCTCTCTTTTGTTAATTAAAGCTATATCTAATATATACAAGAGGTGTATCATTTTTCTGATGTCATTCTGGAGCTTTATAGGATTAACGGAATAAATAGCTCCTATTAGTGATGGGAAGTTCAGATTATTTTACTGACTTTGACCTTTGAGTCACATTCAGTGAGATAAACGAATCTTTTTCCGTGTCATTTTGTTCAATTTGCCAAAATATTATTAAAATTTTTCGAGTTGCTTCCAAACTCATCTACTGATCACACTACTAACAAGTCAAAACTCGAATGCTATAACAAAGAGAAAATAACTAATAAATAATTATGTCAGCTCACATCTTCTGACAGGTCTTTAAATTTCAGTGGTTCATTCACGTCACACTGACAGTCCCATATAAGCTTAACCAATGGACACAGTAAATGAAAAGTACATCTTTTGAGTCTTCTGGTATTTGAGTCGTTCGTTAATCACATGAAAGCATGTAAAGTGAGATGACTCAAACTGTGGACTCAAGAGATAAACGCATCAAAACTTTTTCTGGCTATAAATGCATATGACTAGCTTCTGTTTTTCACATGATGAACGAACGACTCAAACTTAATAGAGACAAATGTGTGCATGCGCAAATGAACGAATCACTCCCTGAGAGGACTCATTGTTCTTGAGTCATACAAAAAATTCATTCAAAATTAACGAATCGTTCAAAAACGACCCATCACTAGTTCCTAATCTAGCTTTTCTTAGGGATATATTGTGAATTCTGCATGAATTGATCAATCCAGTAAAGTGATGACAGAAATTTTGAATCTCTGATGAACTTCTGAACTTGTTTCTTAAAAGGCTTTTTGGCATCGTTTGATTTGCAGAGTACCTTGTTTTATTATTACAGAGAGTAAAGCGAATGAAGAGTATTTTAACCTTGTACAGGGACAAACAGTCACTTTTTCTTGTATTGAATTAAAAACCAGTGCTTGCAAGGCAGCAAAAGAGTAGTGTTAGAGTTTTTAGCTTAATCTTCAACTTTAATAAAATGTGCCATCAGAGCTGTTATTGTTATCGTCATGAATACACTTTTTTGGCTTCCAACACCAAGAAACTACACCAAAGTTGGCACTTTCTTAGCAAATGCAGTGGTTAATGCAATATTTATAAGTAAGAGACGACATTTAAATTTTTTATATAGGAATTATGCAAGACCAACTGCATTTCAATATGCAAAATCATTTGAGACAGAACACTTACTGCAATTTGGTATCAATTTGTGTTTGGACAACATAAAGGAATTAAGTTAAATCAACATAAAACAATTAAGTTGTCCTAATGAAATCTCAAGAAGTGGGTTGTTTCCGCTCATTTTAAATAAGTAGTTTGAACAAGCAGCAATTTTTTTGAGCATGTCATCATCAGTGTCAGATTTGAATGTTTGAAAATATAAAAGATGAAGTAAAATGCATATTTTCTTTGTTTGTTATTTGGTTTGTTTGTTAATATTGAAAATTGACATTTGTGCAATGATTCAGAAATAGTGTATCAATTGTGGTGCCTTGCAAACTTGGCTTGCTAAATTGCCTAGTGATGGCCTGCAGTAATGAATACATCACAATATTAGGTGATTTTGTCTGATACTTTATAAGAGAGGTCTGCACAACTGCAGGGGACGTTTAGAGTACGTTTGTCTTGAACCCTACAGCAAATGCTGACCTTCTCCTTTCAAAACGTGTTCTAGACAAACCCCATAAGCTTGGGTCTTTGAGTCCATTTGAATGTTTCAAAAAATGGACACATCTGGAATAAGGGTATACCCACAAAAGAATTGCACAGTTTTGTGAGTGATACATTCAACATTCATGCACAGGTGACATGCAATACAAAGGGGCAGGTGAAGACTGTGCCAGCAATAACGCACAATGCAGAAAGTTAGTCACAGACAAAAGCAGAATAACACTGACCACACACAGAAAGGGAAGGAGAAAAGACAGACACACAGGGCACAGAGGATCAAAAGAGAGAGAGAGATTTTGTGGCTACAAGCAGCCCGTTTCTTCAACCGAACACGTTCTCATTTGAGTGTGCGCTTTTCAGAAAGGGTGCTGCGAAGTTCTACTGATCTACTTTAAAAGAAGAAAAGGGAAGAGGAAATTAAAAGATCTGTGTGGGGTTTGGAAGGACAGAAGAGAAAAACAGACCTTTGGATGGGACACTTGCTTTTCTGGCCGGAGCAGCATCTTTAGAGGGAGTTTTCTGAAGGCTAGGAGCAGTTTTGGGGGAAGGAGTGGCAGAAACTGTAGCTACGGGTTTTTTCGTTTTTTTGGCTGGAGCTTCTTTGACAAGAGCTGCTTTGCTTGGTGGTTTTGTTGGCGGGACTTCGGCACTGGGCTTAACAGCATCTTTAGCTTTAGTGACAACAGGTTCTAGTATGGCAACAGGTTCTGGTATGGCAGCATTTTCTGGTATGACAACAGGTTCTGGTGTGGCAACAGATTTAACCTTTTCAGTTTCTACTTCGTCATCATCACTCGTCTCCAGGTATTTCTCCTGACTGACCTCCTTTGTTTTATTAGAATCTAGATGTTCCTCTGCCTTAAGCTCCATCTTTGGTGTAGCAACTTCTCGGGAAAATGGAGGAACTGGGGTCTCTTCCTCTTCTTGTTCTGGTACCTCTATTTCCTCTTCTTCCTCTTGCGTATCTGTCTGAAAGTCCCTTAGAGATGATTCCTCTTGGGTCTGGTCAGCGGCAGCACTGGGTGTAAGAGGTGATCCCGGATCTGCCCTGCAGGAGTCTGGGCTCTTGCTTTCCGGTGGTGTTTTATCAGAGCTGCACTCCCAGCCCACAGGACCATGCGGATGACCAGGATCCTGAGGTTCTGTGTAGTCGAACGACAGGCCGCGTTTCTTAGCTTCTTCTGGGGTCATGGGAAGGTGAATAGGGGTTTCATGTTCATCCTCTTTCTGGGTTGTCAAGTCTGGGGTGATAGAACTGCTCACTAAGGAAACTCCCGTTTGTTCCTCTTCTTCATCACTGACTTCACTCACTTCTTTGTCCTCATTTTCATTCTCTTTCAAGTTGATAGTGCTTCTAGGATCTGCTCCAAATCCAGGTGAACCAGAAAATCTTCTTTCAGATTTCTCCATTTCATGTTCCTCCTCTTCAGATCCACTGGGACTATGATGGTCGGACATCTTATCCGAAGGACTTCTCTTCATCTGGCTGTCAAAGCCTGTGATCCCTGAGCTCAGGCCATCAGCAAGGGTTACCGGGAGTGGATGTGGCGACACTGGAGACTCCCGTGGGCTCACAGAGCTCTCCCTTTCCCCATTCTCCCGCTCTCCCTCCCCATCCACTGATGCCGCACTGCTCCGGCCACTCTTTGGCGGACTTCCGGGTGTTAAGGCTTCTGATGACGTGGAAGGCAGAATTATAGGAACAGCCACAGACAACACTGCAGAATTAGCAACACTCAACCACCCTCTCTCAACAGTCAACATTAGAAGCAGAGAAAGAAAAGGAATCAAGGAACTTAAAGGAACTAAAAGCACAGAACCACATAAGGAGCTTGAACACAACACAGAACACAAGTCTGTTTTCATGGCAGTTAAACAATCCAAAAATCTGTTGTACACACTAAACTTTGAGTTAAAAGCACTTTTATGTATGCAATGCTTGCTAATCTGTATTACCAAGCAAAACTGTTTGTAAAAACAGGCAACTAAAGGGGCAAAATGAGAGATCGGAACAGTAGGGTCAAGGGGCTATGAGATCAGTGCTTATAAAAGTGCCTTTTCACTCATTCATTCACAACAACAACAATAAAACAATATATACTGGCCAATCAGACCACAATGGACCATAACATCTCTGTGAGCTTCAGTGTGTAAAGCACTTATAACTGATAGCAAAATGACCAGCAAAGCAATGATTTGGTGCACTATCCACTTGCAAATATCATTTGATGCACAGATAGACCTTTTGGATCTGATCTGAGCAGTAAAATGCATGTTTTGCATTGTGCTGTGAATGCATTTGAAGCACTTTTAATGCATTTAATAATAACTACTTGAAAGCCTCATTATTCTGAAACATTTAGTTTCTCAGATACAGTGATGCAATATAGAGCCAGTATAAACGCATTTAATTGGAACAAATATAAAGTGATCCCCTTTGAGATCTCATGTTTGAGTTTTTATTTTATTTTTATTTTTATTTTTATTTTTTGCATGTTTGCGCAAGCAGTGAATGATTTGTGGTGGTTTATGGGGCCAATGCATATTTGTCTACATGTAGATCCTGTGAACTTTTAGGCTGCAGGTGGATTAAGGGGTGGTGGTCCACCATACCTTCTCCAGCTCCTGCTGTCCTTCCTGACACGTCAAAGTTGTGTGATCACATGGAAGCAAGTTAAGAGAACATATAGGATACAGAGGACATAAACAACAATGCTGAGAATTCATTGCCCAGTTCAGTAGGTTGATCTTAGTACACCTTGGTAAATACTGTGATTTAAACATGCTCAATGTATAGGAGCAGCTGACAGATGCGGTATATTAACCTATAAATCACAGTAAACAAAGATTCATTAGTTTAAAAAAAAAATGTTAAGCGTATATGAAATTTAGGGGAAGAGTCAGGATCAAGGTTATTATAGTTAACAAAAAAAATTAACAAACAAACTAAAACTGAAAAATAATTTTGTTAACTGAAATCAAATTAAAAGCGAGTTGTTTTTTTTAAAACTAGAATTATCTGAAAATGTATGTGCATACAAAACTAACTAAACCTAACTACAGTTATACATGGCAAAAACATCCTTCGTTTTCGTCTTTGTAAATGTATTTGATACAGACTGTAAGCCTTTTAGAAGTAAAATCTATTTACTTTGCACTGACAGGTGTTTGACCCGTACAGCACCTTAGTCTCAGTTAGGTTTGATTTGAGAAGCAGTGAACCAATCATACTGTGTATGCATGATTCAGTGAACTGAACACCAACAGTACATGACAGCCTGCTTTGACTAAACTAAACTTGAACAACTGCAGCACTGTTAATTGAGGGTTTAAATGAGAGGATAAGGCCAAACGTAAGTTTATTTCATTACAGAAAGTTATTCATTTTATTTTTTGGCTTAGTCCCTTTTTTAATCTGGGGTCGCCACAGTGGAATGAACCACTCACTTATCCAGCATATGTTTTACGCAGCGGATACCTTCCCAGCTGCAACCCATCTCTGGGAAACATCCATACATACTCATTCATACTCATACTCTATGGACAATTTAGTCTACCCAATTCACCTAAAGAGCATGTCTTTGGACTGAGGGGGAAACCGGAGCACCTAGTGAGAACATGCAAACTCCACACAGAAATGCCATCTGACATAGCCGAGGCTCAAACCAGCGACCTTCTTGCTGTGAGGTGACAGCACTACCCACTGCTCCACCGCGTCGCTACAGAAAGTCATAATGGAATGTAAAGAAGTGAATCATGCTTCAGTTGGGTTGCAAAAAACGTAATTGTAAGAAACTTTTCAGATCTTGCTGATGTTTTAACTGACTGAAATTATGATTGCTGACTACGAAATTTCTGATATGTTGAGCCCTAACAATCATTGAGCCCTAAGATTGTCACGAAAGATCCAGTTCGCATTAAAGATCCAAACTTTCCATCACTACTGTGTATTTACCCTCAAAAGCAGCCTTGCACACATTTTATTTAAGACTGCTATCTTGTGGGCTGTTGTATTTGAATTTGAGGATGGGTAGACGGTAGTGTTATGTCAAAAAAAGAAGCTTTGGTTGAGTTTTTATTATGCAATATTTATTCTGATGGTTTTGAATCTTGCACCCAACAAATATCCTAATTTACAACAACAACAAAAAACTAAAAGCTGAACTAAAAAAAACTAAAACAATTTCAAAATATAAAGAAATTAGAAAATCTCCCTCTAAAAACTAATTAAACCTAACCCAATTTGAAAACAAAAAGTTGAAACAAAATAAAAAGTAGAACTTATATAAAAAAAAAAAACTATTATAACCTTGGTCAGCATTATGTAAGACCTATGAAAGGCAAGGAAAGGCCATGTAAAGTGAACTAAGTCGCAATTAAAGTTGCAGAGCCATTTCAGCTGCATCAGCAGCATGTTTTCTAACATGAAATATTTACCCGATGCATAATGGTAGCCTAATCCATTTACATTACCCCCAGCCTCATAGAACCACAGCATGCGCATACTGTACTGTACGTAACGCTATCTTAATGTCTTTTTCTCAACAGCTAACTGCTAATTCACTAACAAGATCGATGAGTCTGTGACATCGGGAAGTAAATGATAAATGAAGCTCGTCTTAAAGTCCATTCTCTCAGACCTTGAACTTTTGTAAGGTAATTATTTATGATGTGATGGTAAAAGTAGACAGCTATGGTAAAATAGTGTTTTGAGCTATTAATGTAAATGGTGGCTAATTTACTTTAAAGTAATTCATTGCAAGCAAAGATTAAACTGTATGAATTTGCAGTTCTCCTGATGAGAAGTACAATGCCATGTTAGTGCTCCAAATAAACTTAGATGTGTAAAGTACATATGAATGCCTCTGTAGTGTAAAGTACAAATATGTGACATATTTAGGTCAGAAATTTGAAGGTCAGATTAGTACTAAAAAATATTCCAAAATATTAATGATATATTAAGCTTTTATCATTATTAACTAATCTATACTGTAATCATTATGCTATACCACGCTACTGCATATCCTGGTCACGGCACCAGACAGGTACATCCATATAAGCCATTAGAGATTCAAGTGCTTGTCTTATTTACTCACTTACCAAATGGATGTTCTGAGCATTACTATGTAGTCTAGTGTTCATCTTGCCCGGAACATACATCCTCCTCTTATACAAAAAGGAAGGGTGGAGTAGACCTGCCTAATTGCTCTTTGACTAATATTCTGGGCTTTTACTGGCCTTGAAATCTTTAACGGTTGCCTTCCTAATGCAACTTGAAGGCATGCAATTAGCTTTCAGTGAAAAATTTTCAGTATATCACAGTGTCAGCGACAAAAACAACTCAACTGCATTTCCAAAATGCTTCTAAGAACATGGCAAGGTCACCGCTGAGAGGTTCCAGGCTTATTGCTGGTCCAGAAAAGTCAATGAAACTGTCAATATTGACAACATAAGCATTGTGCTTAGTGCTTTTTGGAAATAGTAAGCAACAGCAAGGCATTGAGTCTTGTTCATTTTAAGGTTCTCATGGGTTTTCTATCACTTTTGTACTTGTTCATTTTTATTAAATTTGTTTTGTTTTTAATTGATTTCCATTTGTACTTATGATTGGTCTCCAAAATGACCTAAAAGTGTTAAATGTGACTGAATGAAGCATTTGGTTTTCTGTGCTTTACTTTAAACTTTTTTACTTTAAAAAAGACTTTCATGACCATGGGAACCTTGTTGTCTGGAGAATAACAAGAACAAAACTTGAATTTTAAAGTAATAGTTCACCCATAAATGAAAATAACCTCATTATTTACTCTCCCTCATCTGGTTTTAAACCTTTTGTTTTTGTTGAACACCAAAGAAGGTTGTAGTTAGGGCTGTGCAATTGATCAAAATTTAGTTTTGATTTCGGTTTTGGCTTCTAACGTTTATGAAAAAGCATTAATTGAGATAAAACGATTATTGCATCATATACTGCTCCTTTGTACACATTTGTTGCTCTGCAAAGCTCACACTGTAAAACCCAACAATCAAATTTATCAAATGAAATGAGTGTAGTTAACTCAAAATTCAAAGTTAATTCTACTCATTTGAAAAGTTTTGAACTCTGTGCTGAAGGTAATGAGTAAATTAAACACCTCATTACTTCAGCTTAAACTGAGTAAGTTCACAGTACTCTTATAGATTAGTTTTCTAACTCAAATGGTTTCTAGCAATCAGTTTTTACTCAAACAGTTTGAGTTGCCTTAACTTATTGGGTTTTACAGCACTCAGTTGGTTTGAGTTCTCTTCCTTTATTGGGTTTTACTTTGCACAAACTGCTTCATTTACTCAAATGGATTAAGCGTTAATGGTCAAATACATGCAAATTAGTGCCAAAACGTGGGGTTTAGTGATTATTCATATTAACCCTCATTTATGTAATAAACGAATGAGTTGAGAATCAAAAGACATGTAAAAGTAAAACCATAAAACAGCGCTGCACTGCTCTTAATGTGACAGCGCACAATATTCCTGCTGCTGACTGTTTTTATCATTATTAATCAAACAACAAAGGGAGAAAATCCCTCACTGCTCTTGACTGAAGGACTTTTGTAGCTATACTTAAAGTTTTTTTTCTTACAGTGAGGATGCTTAAAGCACAGTTTGTTTCATATTTTTATTCTATTGTATTTATATCCCTTTCCTTATTTACAGGTAGGTGAAGTCAGAATTATTAGCCCTCCTATATTATTAGCAACCCTTGATCCACAATTTTTGTTTAACGGAGAGAAGATTTTTTAGCAATTCTAAACACAAAAGTTTTAATAACACACTTTTAATTAACTGATTTTTTTTAATCTTTGCTATGATGACAGTACATTTTTTTTACTACATATTTATCAAGATACAAGCATTCAGCTTAAAATGCAAATTCAAAGGCTTAATTAGGTTAACTAGACAAGTTATTGTATAACAGTAGTTTCTTCTGCAGACAATCAAAAAATATATATTGTTTATGGGGACTAATAATATTATTTTAAAAGAGTTTTACAAATATTTAAACCTGCTTTTATTCTAGCCAAAATAAAACAAGTAAGCCTTTTTCCAGAGGGAAAAATATTATAGGAAATACTTAATACAAAAAAAATCCTTGCTCTGTTAAACATCATTTGGGAAATATTTATAAAAAAAAAAATTCACAGGATTATGAATATTAATTTTGACGTCAACTGTATATTGTTTTGAATAATCGTGATTACAATTATGACCAAAATAATCGTGATTATGATTTTTCCCATAATCGAGCAGCCTTAGTTGTAAAAATGTTGTTTGCTTGCACCCATCAACTTCCAAAGTAGGAAAAAATGACTATGAAAGTCAGTGGGTGCCAGGCACCAGCATTTTCCAAAATGTCTTCTTTTGTGTTCAACAGAAGAAAGAAACTCGTAAAGGATTTAAACCGCATAAGGGAAAGTAAATGATTTTAAAATTTGGGTGAACTACATAAGCAATAAAAAAAAAAACACACAACCACTCTGAAGGGCTCTCCATTAGAAATAAAAGCGCAGAGGAAGAAAAGCAGCAGGTGCTAATGATAATTGCTGAATTTAGATCTAGCACTCTCATTTGTCCATTGTCAAATGGGGAAATATGAGAGGCTGGTTTTCATCACAGAAGTATTATTATTTTTAATTTGATTTGAACTACACGGTTGTACTGCATCCTTGGGAAATTAATCAGCATCGCAGCCAAATTGCAGGTTGAATCAGTAGCATAATGGGATCAAAATAAGTTGCTGTATAAAGCTATGCAAAAAGCAGATTTGTAAAGCGAAGATGAGCGGCACACTGTTGGTTCATACCCAATTGCTCATCTTTATCAAAGGACGGCTTGGGATCGGAGTCTTCTAAAGCAGCCTTGTGGGCAGTCACTTCAGGTGTTGGTTCATGTGTCTCCTCTAAGAGAGAGCGATGAACTTTTAGTTTAGACAGCAGAGGACTGATGTGGTTCACATGGCAAACAAAGCAAAACTTCTCTTTAGGGCAGTCTATTTGCTCGCATTCTGCTTATCCTCTAGGTGTAGGATAAAGTACAGTGGTGCTTTGATGCATCTGTTAGTACACTCCTGAGACGAGAGCTGTAACATTTCATCATAATGGGCAAACAAACATACTGAATGCCAGCATCAGGCTGTTTTTCGAACTTTATTTGATGAAATGTGTCATTTTAGAGACATTTTGCTTCACCGACTTCTGCCAGCAGAATGGAGCTGGAAATTGGGTTGCTGGTGGATAAGAAGGTTTCGTCTGTGCTTTGTGAGGAAGCCTGAGGCTTGCTGAATGCTTGTCAGTTGTGCCAGAACAATCCAAAGTGGGTAAGACAGATTAATCTTTTTTTTTTTTTTTTTTTGTAAACTACGACCCATTTCATCATATCTAAGCCTCATCCAACTATACATTTTGCGAAACCATCTATAAATGTTTTATATCTACCCCTTATTGTAAACACACAATGCAGGCAGGACAAAATGTCTTATAGTTGCTTTTCATTATTGAACTTTATTTTCCAACAGTTGAAGATAGCTCAAGGCTTATCCAAATGTGTTCTATGGTTGTCAAAATGGTCGCAAGGTTTCTTTGTGTTTTTAACAAAGGATTAAAAGTATTTTCCCATGACTTTTCTATTTGTTTTTGATTGGTTGCAGGATTCACAGACAAATTTCTTGCCAAACAAATGTCTTGAGTATAAACAAATGACTTGACAAATCATCAACTTCGAATTATAAGGTTCTATCTGACATTTTTGTCAAAATTGAGTTATTCACATATTCTTATTAAACTTATTTACATTGTGATGTTTTTTATATATATATATATATATAAGTTGTTTAAATTTTAAAACTTTTTCATAAAAAAAAAAGGTTTTATCAACAAAGTTGAACTCTAGCTATAAACTATATACGGTTCTTTCTGTGAGCCAATATTTACCATTAAGTATCAGCTTTCTTTGACATTTTGCCAGACTGCTCCATTGACAGCTGGAAAGACCAAAAAGAAAAACAAAATCAGAGTCGATTAAATAATGCAGCAGCACACAAAATTGAGAAGAAACCTGAAACTGAAAAGTTTTGTGTAAATGTGATGATTTAGAAGCATTTTTTGACATTGAGATGAAATGGTCAATTTTACATTGTTGAAATAGAAACAGTTATTAAAAAATGTAATATATTAAATGTGAAATCTTTTTATTTGTGTATATAGTCAGTGAAACATGTTTCAGTATTAAATTCTAAACTTTAAATTCTTTCAAGTTTAAATTCTAAAACCCTAAAGGGCAAATACTCATTTAATTCATGGGACAAATATTTCAATAAACATAATTGAATTGTTCATATAAAGCATATAATTCAGTAAACATGACTATATTAATTACATAAAATTACCAGCTGCACTGGATAAAATCATTAATATTTTTAAGCCTTGTATAATTAATTTGAACAGGGAAAAATATTCAACATGAATCCTTTATTAAAGGTTATAGAAAGTAAAAAGTTTTGTGATTAAATTTCTTTAAAAAAAAAAAGTAATGCTTCGATTAATGATCTGCCAGATAGAACCTTATATTTCCAAGAGGGGAAAAAAATGACTTTTTAGAATCAGAAGGTTCTATCTGCATTTGCCTTGTTTTTTTTTTTACCCCGATTTGCAAATGTAGGACAATTTTGCTGATTTACATTTAGAGTACATGTAGGGTCTCTGTCATGGTAATGCATGAAACATGTTACACACATATTGTCTGCTATATGGAATGCAAAACTTTGAAGCTCATTATCTCAAAATCATTCAGAACGCAGATAGAACCTTATAATTGTGGTGATGAAATGTATATTGCACATGGATATTTGTACAAAATGTTCAATACACTTTTACGATTTTAATTAGAAATTAAAACTTTTAATTATATAAGATTTTATAAGGTTTCATTTTATAATGATTATGAAAGACATTACATGATTTTTATTCAAAACTGCAAAGAAAGTATTTTCCCAGAGGTATCACAAATTTGGTTTCTATTATAGACTTATTCAAAACTATTTTCTAAATGTAGATTTAAAAAAAAAAACCTATTACTTAATGACAGGATTTCTGTGTATGTGGCATTTTTTTTTGCTTGTGATAAGTCATGAGGACAAATGTTAGCAGGTTTAAGTAAATGGCAACAAATCCCCTTATACATGCGAGTATGAGGTGTCTCTGGGAGGTTATAGTATGTGATTTCACAGAGTAACTATGAATTCAGATTTTCTGGATGAACACCAACCAGAGTTGTGAAATGAAACAGGGTTCTTGTAATTCTTGTAGCACATGCTGCATAATTTCAAAGGATTCTGCATCATACAAATAAATGCATAACCAGTGGTGGAAAGAGTAGTGAAAAATCATACTTAATTATAATTACTTACCTAAAAATGTAGTGCAAATAGAATAAAAGTGTCTGTTGTAAATATTACTCGAAGTATGAGTTAAAAAGTAGACCTTTCAAAATTACTCGGGAGTAGTGAGTATTACTCTGTAAAAAGCTGGAGCATCTACATGTTATTTGTGGATCTGTGTAAACGTAACATTCTGTAGTGCATTTAGTTATTGCCCAGCAGGCACACAACATTATAAGACGTTAATATTAGGTTGGATTTAGGTTGTGATGTCAAAAATCCATGTCTAGCCAGCTCTAAGGACAATGTTATTTTGACATCCAATAACGACGTCAAATGAAGTTGAAAAGTTTTGTTGATTTCAGGTTGTTAGAAAGTTGAGCCAACATCTTAAACCAACATCATATAGACGTCAAATACAGACATTTATTCATCAGGAATGACAACCAAAAGTGACATGCATCTAAACAGACTCTGCGTCAATGCGTGTGTAATGGAGGCCAGTAAAACCTCACTCCTCTGACTTCTAAAGGTGCTCTAGTGACAGATGCTAGAGGCCATGGTCATGGTCTAGAATCAAAAGATTTTGGAAATCTTCTTGGACACTTTTAATGCTTCCAAACAGTTTGCTGCATTTATAAATCGCCCATGTCTTAAGATAGTTCATTATGATGCAATTTACCCCTTTTTACGTCTATGTGCAATTTGATAGGACTGATTTTCCTAATCCCCAATGACAAGAAAATATAACATAGTGACTTCAGGTTGAAGGAAAGTAGTTGAGTAAAAGTACCAAAACAGTAGTAAAAATCTCATGGGAAAGTAAAACATACACATTTCTAAAACTACTTAGTAAATTACAATTCCTGAGAAAAACTACTCAATTACAGTAGTTTGAGTTTTTGTAATTTGTTACTTTACACCACTGTCACTGTGCATAACAATATAAAAACAAATCAAGATTTGCAAAGCTTGAAGTGCAAATGGACACACAGCTATTGATAGAGGAAACCCCCAGTCAGGGATGCCTTAAAATAAAAATGTTTGCCAAAAGATTTACAATAAGTGTGTGAACTCTCTCTCTCTCTAAAGGTTAAACTGAGATTGTGAATATCGTTTCACATCAAATGGAAAATAAAGTCCAACAAATAAGTTCTATGTGACATTTTGCATTTGACCTGAATGAATGAACATCTCCACAGACATCTGAAACCAACACATGGCTGAGTGATGTCACCATCAGCATATGTGTCAGGTTTCCCAGTATGAGACGAGACATAAGCAAGAAACACACTGCCATGAGTATCACTCAGCTTTTGTGCGCTTTGTGGGGAAACGATGGGATTTCAGGCTTTACTTTGTTTTTCTTTATGGTAAACAGTAACTACAGTATTTATCCTTCTTTATACAGACCTTTCACTGGACCCTCACCTGCTCCCATATATCCCGCTGTCCCGTTCTTCAGGTCTTGTTGATGGCCGTCATTGATGGACATGTTGACTACACCAGATGCTATGTTGTTGCCGGGAGAGTCACCCACCTGTCCAGAATTCATGTGGTCCTGATGGTCCATTTTGAGATGATTTCAGTCTGTTGAGGTAAAACACAACAAAATCATTGGGGGTTAATGTGTGAAAGTGACTGGTGTGCACTGCATTACCTTTTAACCACTTGAGTTTGGTGGTTGGGTTGTTTGTTTGCATAAAAGTAACCTTTATTTACCTATTTAAAACTATGCCTTTAGCTAGTTAGTTGAGATTAAGAGCGATTTGCTCAATCATTATGTATTTGCACATACTACAAACATCCACTTCCTCCTCAGTGGCTGCTAATTAACCCTTGATGATATCACACGGGTGTGATCAGTCTTGGCTGTCCTCTGTAGTGAAAATCACAGTGGTGAATCAGCTGCTAAATTCAAATCTGCTTTTCTGTGAGGTCCTCCAAAAGACATCTTTCACTCTTGTCATAATCACAATATATTAGTATATATTATTTAAGGTTTCATACATGTAAAATATACATTAGTACCAGTAAAACAACCCTTCATACTTCCTAAAATACACAACTGTTCTTTGCGAAACTGACAATAATAATCATATTAAACAATCTGACAAGCTGTTTTATACATTATACAGTGTACACATTGTTCACAGTTTAAATCTGAAATTGGCCACATTTAAAAAAGCAATGTTTGAACCGCTATAAAAAAAATCTAATCTGAGTAAATAATCTGATTTAAGCAGTAAACCTTGCCCTGTGAGCGTACGAGTTAGCCATCATGTTAGTTAGTTAGTTATTTCAAGAGTGGCCAATAAATACCCCTAAAATCTATTTCACAACTTTTTTTTCTTTAGGACAGGTATTTAGAAATAAATATGTATTATAACATAGTATAAAGAACCCAGGAATGCATGGAAATGTCATAATTAAATACCAAAGAGACAGTTTGCAAAGCTGCAGTCAAGGACAAGGTCATTTTTAAGTGCCATGATTTAATCAAGTGGAGGAAGATTTCACTTCTCCTGTAAATTGTTTATTGTTATTGGAGTGTATTTTCCCATCCTGTGGTCTATATAGAAAAGCCACCTCTTTACACATAAATAAATGTGTTTGCATTCAGTAATTCCATATCATCTACATTTTAACAGCTCTGTGATACAAAGTCAACTTATCTGCATTCTGCCATGCTAAATGCCAGAAAGAATAGACTACAGGAAACAGCAAGCCAGGACAACAGGAAGTAGTAAGAGACCTCTCTTCCTTCAAGAACAGCTTCAGGTATATAGTTACTTACAGTAACACTGAAAAATAGATTCACCAATAATGTACATGTTCTCCATAAGGTAAACCCAACAATTGGCAACAACTCTACCATATAGAAGCTACCAGAACCTCTCATCTAGAGAACAGCACAGGACGAGATATATGAAGGTATTAAATGATGGATTGATGGCACTGGAATTTCCTTTTCTCTTAAAGCACACTCTGTATCCGGTCCTTTTACTTATGGTTGCTGATGTGCAGTGAGTGTGTGTTTCCTGTTGCAAGTAAAAATGGAGTTTTCCTTTCAGCAGTTCTGCTTTATCCTTTATACAAGATCAAGCCAAACTTATGTAGTCCCAATAGAGCTATTAGTCAATCTACTCGATGCAGTACACGAACGTCCATCTCTTTCAAACAGGACGCCTATAAACATGAATTCCATTAGTGTCAAAATGGATTAAATGCAACATTTTCACATCCCCTAACCTATTTTTTTGTAGTTGTCGATGAGCCACGTTTACGTAATCGGACACCTCAATGTGTTGTTGTCTGAGATTCCACATTGGAAGGTCATCTAAACGTGGGGGTCATTATGAAAACCAAGTAGTTTTAGGCAAGAAGTGCTGTGGTGCTAAAAACAGTGCTAAAGCTGCAGGGGTGGGTTTACATTTGTCGATTACATCATCCTCAAAGTCAGCAGTGACCAGCAGGGAGGAACAGTATCCCAAGCCAAAATGGCTTTTTAAAGGGATCGTTCATCCAAAAATAATTTTGTGACCATTTCCAAACCTGAATGACTTGGTACGATAGGACAAAATAGTTGGTTTTTGGTCTAAAGCTTTGGTACCCTCAATCCAAGAGTGTCACTGTTCTCCATATTTAGCCTAATGTAAGGCATCATAACCAGCTTTTAAAGCTCTTACTAAGCATTTTAGAAATGTCCATACAGGCATGCTTACAAACAGGTCTGTTGAGGCAAGCTGAAGCTAAATGCTCCTGGACAGTGGCCCTCCAGGACCATGTTTGGACACCACTCAGCATCTCAGCCTAATACATTACATGCATGGACCACTGACAAAAAGTCTGATGCACAAGTCACACAAAATAAGAAACACTGTGGGAGATTTTTAGTAATCAAACTGGATTTCATGCGACTGCCTTTCAAAGTTTAAGGCGATTTCCCATTCCAACTCATCAGCGCTGTTCAATGTGTTAAACTAAGACAAATGAACTCTATGAAGTGAAACCTCAGCTTCAGTGTTGCCCAAGTTTCTCGGCACTTTTAAACTTATTCGTTGAGTAAACGGTTTCATTATGGCGCATTTATTAGAGCACTAACTGGTGTATCTTTGCTGACTGGCAGCCTGTTGTAGATAAGTCCCTGTGCTGAAACGATTGAAATATCATCATGATATAGCCAATGCAATAAAATGGTCTTTAAATGACAGTAATATTAGTAATCAAAATAATTTCGGAGATAATGTATATAATAGAGCAAAATATTGTTATTGTGAGAGACCTTATAGTGAAGATATCCAATTTACTTGTGATTGGTTGCTGCTTAGATTAGTTAGTCTTGGGCAGTTCTTAGACAATGAAAGCTGGCATTCAGTCTATTCAGACCATTTCAATGTGGCAATGTCACTGGCCCATGAACATTTCCTGATTGTTGTCAAACTATTTTATAACTGCAACAAGAGGCAATTCAATCATATCTTACTGCCATAAGATTATTTATCAATAAGTAAACTATTTTGGATTCTCTAAAGCCATAGAAATTAAAAATGTAAAACAGGAAATAGGTCAGGAACATTGTTATTGTTTACATCCCTCAAAATGATCTATAGGTCTGACCATGTAAAACTGCAGTACAATCTGCTGAAAAGAACTTGTAAAACAGTCTTTAAATTCTCACAGTTTGTTTTCCACAAAGTCATGTGGGTTTGGAAGAACATTCCTATTTTGGGTGAGCTATTCCCTTGTGCTTTGTAACTGTAGGTGTTTTCTCCCCCAGTACAATCATTGCACAAGTGCGCTGAGGTTTGGGAAGCATCATACTCCAAATCCCCCAGAGGGAATCTGTCACCTTCTTAATAAACCCTCACAAGCCTGGTTTCCCTTAGGCAGCAGTGGTGCAAATTCAAGCCTGACTCCCGCAGGCCTCTCATGCATTATTCAGACTGAACTGTGATATCAGTAAACAAAGCTTAAAAACCATCTGCAACCACAGTAAGTCCAAATCAAACCATCGCTTCATTATTAAGGACTGATTGATTGTGAAAAAAAAGAAAAAAAAACAATGAAATGTGGGGAAACAAATGGAATGCAAAAAAATGTGAAAGATTAGAATTGCAGGGATATTGATGGTTTTTTGCAAATGGGACACTCAGAATGTTGGCTCTAAGCATGGTGTGAACATTTTCCCAATCATATGTTCATGTTTCCCATGGCACGTTTTTTTATTATAAAATGGAAATCCTGAATTGCAATTTTTAAGTGATTTTGGGAGAATTTTTTTATTGTTTTGTAGTTTTCTGCAGTTAAAAAAAAGTTGTTTGTAATCGGGTTCAGAAAATTATCATCAAGATTTGTATTTTCATGCATGCCTGTATTGTTATCAGCTTCCAGTTATAGAGAGTTATCATTCATATGCATCAACCAAAATTTTCATATCACTGTGTCTGTTAGCCAACCATTTTTTAAGAGACTTTAAATCTATTTCTCACAAAACTATTGAATACAAACATTTAAGCCTCTTAGAATGCTTTTTGTGGTACTTTTAAATTTTCTTTATCGTTACTGCTACTATAGCTAGCTCTCTGCAACCCTCACTTGATCTCCCACTGAATCTAAGCAGGGCTGCGCCCGGTCAGTACCTGGATGGGAGATCAAATGGGAAAGCTAGTTTGTTGTAAGTGGTTTTAGTGAGGCCAGCAGGGGGCACTCAACCTGCAGTTACTGTCGTAACGCTCCAGTATAGTGAAGGGGACTCTATACTGCTCAGTGAGCGCCGTCTTTTGGATAAGATGTTAAATCGGGGTCCTGACTCTCAGTGGTTGTTAAAAATCCCAGGATGTCCTTTGAAAAAGCATCTCGGCCAAATTTGCCCACTGGTCTTCGTCCATCATGGCCTCCTAATCATCCCCATATAATAATTGGCTTCATCCCTCTATCTACTCTCCACCAATCAGCTGGTGTGGGGTGTGCGGTCTGGCTCAATATGGCTGCCGTCACGTCATCCTGGTGGATGTTGCATAATGTTGGTGCATGAGGAGATTTCCCCCAATGTGTAAAACGCTTTGAGTGTCTAGAAAAGTGCTATATACTGTATATGTAAGGAATTAATTTAGTGAAACTTTACTAAAAAAACATTTATGTTGACTTTTCTTAAGTTAAAGTCAGTCAGCTTTACTTGCAATACCCTGCTATTTGACCAGGTTTACCTGGAGTAAAATGACAAAAAACATGGTTACTACACCAGATACACCAACAACAAATGGTCTCTGACAAGCAGAAACTAGCATGAAAAAAACACATGCTGGTCTGGGGAGCAAGAAAAAAACGTTTACTTAATGTGTGATGTTTGCCAGAAGATACTAAGAGCATAGTTATGAAAAGCAGGTCAATTTCTATCAAGTCAACAACTGATTTTTTCCTTAAGGAACTGAGTGGAGTGTGGGTAGCAGACACCAGATGGAGCTAAAAGTATATGAGGGATTGGTGACCACAGCCTAGAATGAGGGTAAACTCATTGACAGATCGTGGTGTTACATTTTAAGAAGCCTTTCTATGTAATAACCTTCACAATGAATGACACATTAAGA